TATATATAATAAAACAAAATTGAAAAATATATAGCAACACAGTTTAGAGTTATGAAATACCAATCAGCTGGAATATTTAATCCTTTCCTGATCAATGAATTTATTTAAAATGTAATAAATACTCCTGGTAAAAGTGCAAAAATTAAAAAAAGGTAAAGTGTGAAGACAGACCCATGTTCCTAGGGGGATTTATTGTAAGTGGCTTCTTGTACTTCCTTTCTGAAATGTTATATTATGCAGTTTCTTATGACTTTTAAAGTGCATAGAACTGCCTGAGCATGGCAGTATAGGCTGTTAATCCCAGCACTTGGGAGGCAACACAGTACTCAAACACACTGGTAAACTTTTGTACAGAAGGAAGTCACTGATAGCCAGGCACGGTGGCACACACCTTTAATCCTAGCATTCAGGAGGCAGGAGGATCTCTCGGAGTTCAAGACCAGCCTGGTCTACAGAGTGAGTTCCAGGATAGCAGGAGTAAAACAGAGAAACCCTGTCTTGAAGAATTAAAAAAAAAAAAAAAAAAAAAAAAAAAAAAAAAAAGCCACTGTATCCTTTAGTTGCATAATTTTTCTCACAATTTCCAAACAATGATCCAATTGTTTTTGCTGACAAAGATCATTCAACTAACTTGGTAAGTAAAAGAAAGGCCTGGCTTTGGAGTCAAAAGTCCTAGGTTACCATCTAGGTTATGAGGGCGAAGGTCATAGAGCCCTAGGCTTTCCTATGAGGTTTCATAAGCTGCTGATATTACAATCCAGTTCCCTCTATTTCATAAGAAACCTTTAAAACCAGAGACAGCAAAGGAGGAAATATGAAGTATAGGCTGAAATGTCTAAAATATCTCCTAGCCCCACCCCAGGCCGGGGAGGTAGAAAGAAAAGAAAAAAAAAATCAACCTTATCAATAATTTTAATTGGACAAAATGTAGTTACTAGCTGTATAAAGTTAGAATCCACACTCAGTGAGATTTTTATATTGATCTTCATTTGAACCACAGACACCTTCTGATGGAGAGAAGAAATAGAACAGAATCCCATTTGGGAATTTAATCAAGAAATGCACTACATTAGTCGGTGGTGGCGCATGCCTTTTATCCTGTCACTCAGGAGGAAGAGGCAGGCAGATATATGTGAGTTTCAGGCCAGCCTGGTCTACAGAGCAAGTCCCAGGACAGGTTCCAAAGCTACACAAAGAAAACCCTGTCTTGAAAAACAAAACCAAAAAAGAAAGAAAGAAAGAAAGAAAGAAATGCCCCGATTTTTACCAACATCACCATGAAGGAAAATATCAGGTGAACCCATACATTCAAATGCCTCAGGAGTGCCAAGGTTTAAGGTCTGGGCCATCTCTTGCTAACACGAGGAAATGGTAAGTCTGTGCATTGCAGTTTCTGGGTGAGATTTAGATTCCTTTTCTGCATTCAGTGTCAGTATTAATCCTGTTGCTGCCACAGCATATCCTGAGCTTAAAATATACACAAGGTGACTGAATGGAGGCAATGGTTCTCAACTGGGAGTGACTGTGCCCCTCAAGGATGTGTGTGTCTGGAGCTGGTTTGGGGTGACAATAGGAGACATCATCCACTCATATCTAGTGGATAGGGGCCATGATGGTCCTAAGAATCTTACAGTGTACAGGGACCTATCCACACACTGTTAATCCCAACACTGAGGAGGCAGAAGCAGGTGGATATCTGTGAGTTTGAAGCCAGCCTGATCAACAGAGTTTCAAGCCAGCCAGGGCTACATAATGAGACCCTGTCTGATAACACCAACCCTGGCAAGGAGTAAGGGTTGACCATAATGGTCAAGAATATCTGGGTTAAATATCAATTTGGTCACCAGTCCTTAAGTAAGAACAAAAGAAGACATGCTTGAAACAAAACAGTATGTAACACGTCATATTTATATGACATGTCACATAAATATAATTATGAAGTTCTGAAAAGGAAACAAGCCAGAGACCCACAGCTCTGTGTAGGGGGAGGATTATACTATTGTTGAAGGCATGGATTTGTATGGAGTGGTGGGGGGAGATTTTGGAGGGGAGCAAAAAACCAGTAAAACAACACAGGCAGGAGTGAGATCAGTCAGGTGAGAAACAGTGGCAGGCTAGTATAGCTGAACCACAGTGAGAGGCAGACAAGAGGTTTCAGCTCTGTGCATGCAGTAGCCAGGAGATTACAGATCTAAAAAAAAAAAAATCTGTTCTCAAGATTTTGGTTTGGTGAGCTTGAGGAAGAACCAGATGAAAAGCTCGAGGTAAACTGGACAAAGGTCAGAAAGCCACTGTTGTAATCGTTCCCCCCAGCATTGCATTACCAGTGTTACATAGCTACATACATACTGAGCTTCAGCTCAGGTGAGATAATTCAACCTATGAAGTCTCAACTTAGGAGCCTCTCTGCTTTAATAATTACCTATGCCTTCTAGCCCAATTTGTGCTGGATAGTTTTATGTTAACTAGACACAAGCTAAGTCATGTGGGAGGAGAGAACCTCAGTTAAGAAAATGCCTCCATAAGATCCAGCTTCAAGGCAAGTCTGCCAAACATTTTCTTAATTAGTGATTGATTTAGGGAGGCCCAGTTCATTGTGGGAGGTGGCTGGTGGTCTTGGGTTCTATAAGAAAGCAGGCTGAGCAAGCCAGAGGGAGCAAGTCAGTAACCATCACCCCTCCATGGCCTCTGCATTAGCTCCTTCCTCCAAGTTCCTGCTCTGTTTGAGTTCCTGTCCTGGCTTCTCTCCATCATGGACTACAATGTGGAAGTATATGCCTGTGCCTCCCCAACTTGCTTTTGCTCAGTGTTTCATCGCAGAAACAGAAACCCTAAGTAAGACGCAATTATTCTAGGAATCCTAAGTAACCAACAATGAAGACAATGATCCATATGCAACAATGATATTTTACTGTTTTAGTAAAAATAGCTATCATTTAAATTTCTAAAAGTTGAGTTCAATAGTTAATCACAGTGAGCAATTATATAAATTATGGCCAGTTTATGGTAGCCAATTAATTATTTAAAATTATGACCTCTAAATAAGTCACAGTAACACTATCCAAAAACAGGACACAAAACTGTACGTGTAATTGTGTACATAGCTCCTCATTTCCATAAAAGATAAAGATTAGAGATAACTGTGGAAGACTGAATCCCAACTGTTAGTATTGGTTATTCCTAGGCATTGAAAGTATGGATAACTTTTTATCTTACTTTAAACAATTTTCTCATAAAACACAGATATCCCTTTGATATTGGGGTTGAGGTTTTGATCTGTTCTGCTGATACAGGCTTAAAGAAAAAGCAATTTATGCCAGGGCTGAAAACATTTAAACTTCAAAGATACCTTCCAACCTATTCTCAAGAGTACTTCTCACATCTTTAAAGAAAAAAAAAAAAAAAAAGACCACCAAATTCTAAACAGCAATAACTCTTAGGTAGCAACCACCCCAGGATCAAATTCTTGGTTACCTAAGGAAGCATTTTTCTAAGCTCATCAAGTGGGAAGTGTGGAATTTGAAAGTACACTGAACATCTCCATCAGAAATGACAAAGGGTGCCTGGCAGTGGTAGTGGTGAATGCCTTTAATCCTAGCATTGGGGGTAGGAAAGGGGAGGCAGAGGTAGGCGGATCTCTGTGAGTTCAGGGCTAGCCTGGTCTACAAAGAGAGTTCCAGGACAGCCAGACAGAGAAACAGTCTCAACAAACAAACAAAACTGACAAAGAGTAATAAGCTGATCCGGAACTCGGTGACAGTGACTGATTTCTTTCCCCCACAAAGAAAGCAAATCAGACAAAGAGTCTATTTGGTGTAGATAAACTAACAATAAGAATGATTCTAATAAAATCGATGTTTTGATAGGTGGATTTTTAATAGCAAGATAAAAGTAGCTCAAGAGGAAAGAAAGGTGAGCTACTTGAAGTCATTTCAAATTCATAGGTATTTCTTTTATGAGTCAGTAGTCTGTCCAGTACCATGTATCTAGGATTTTGGAAGATTTCAAATATTCTAATTTTCCTCCCATGAACACACTCAAAATAGAGAACCTGTTTGCTCTCACTCTTAGTTAAGAAAATCTACACGCTGTCTTTCCACTGAGGTTATAACCTTGAAGCACCATAAGGACAACATCCAGGCAAAGACAGTTCGCTGAGGTTCAAGGAATCCTGGTTACCCACTAGAAGGTGTGAAGTGTGAATAATCCCACCGCCTTCTCTTCCCTTCCCCGCACACCCCTGTGGTGTCGGAAGCCCTAAGCAGGCAGAGCTGTCATCTTATTAACCTTCGGCCCCAAATTGGAAACCTCGGGAATCTACAAACCAACACTGCCACTCGAGGCCTCTACGGCAGCACTGGCACCTCGCCGGTAGGACAACACTTTAATAAACCGTGTTAAGAGCTCTCTCGAGCTTTTCAAGCTGGAGCGAGGACCGCTTCTGAGTGCTGAGGCAGAATGCAGGCATATTCGGTCTAGTTTGTCCGAGCTAAAGAGGCGGACTAGGAAGCCCACTGTAGGTCAGGGGACGCACTAGCCGCGGTGTGGGAGCTGCTGCCTGCTCTCGCCGAGCCCGCAGGGGGCCTCGCTCACCCCGTCAGCCCGTTTGGTGACAGGCGCTGCCCGGGGCGGGGAAGGTGCCAGCAGAACCGGTCCCACGAGACACCGGCGGCGCCCGACCCCAGGTTGCGGCTCCGGCGTCCGGCCAGCGCGTTACCTGCAGCAGGTGCAGCTGGGCCACGAGGCGCCGCGGCAGGTGGAGGAAGCAGTCCCGAGCGTTCGTGAAGGCCACCGTCACGACCGCCCCGCCAGACCCCGCACCGGCCGAGCGATCGCCGCTCCACATCGTCCCGGCTCAACTCCCCCCAACCCACCCGAGAGCCCGCCCCCTTCCCAGGCAGGTCCGGGCGTCGCAGCCCGAGACTATCGATCGGCCCGCCCCTCCCCGCCGGTCAGGCCGCTGTCACGCCCCCATCTCCCCTCCGAGACACCAGGGGGCGGCACATAGCCGAGCGAAGGCTCGCTCCCAGGAAACGATTGTCGATGGGGTCGATTGTGCAGCCAATCCAAGCGCGCTCGCCGCATTCTGCTCTCTCATTGGGCACAGAGGAGCGCGTCCGGCGGATGTTGTTCTGGCGCCGACAACTACAGCCGGCAACATGGCGTCCAGCGACGGGAAGCCGGGTTGCATATTCGACCACCACGTCCAGACGGCTGTGTGTGACTCGCGGGCCCCATACCGGGAGGGCCGACGTCCTCGTGCGGTCAAGGTACAGTGGCTTCTGTTCCCTCGCTTTCCTAGGAGGCAGCACTGGCTCCCCGTGGCCGGCCTAGGGAAAGACGTGGCAGGGACGAGGCACGAGGGAGCCTGGCCCGGGTACCAAAGTTTATCACCACCCTCGTTAACTGCTTACGACACCGTCGCTCCAGCAGAACCCGGTGTTAATTTTGTGCCTCACGTGTGTACAGTGGCGCTTCGCACGGGACAAGCTCTGGGTGAGATGCCAGGGACTGTTTCCATTAACTTCTCTGGAGTCGGCGTGTGGAAAAGACGTCTGTCAAATGGTGTAGTCAGATACCCTTAAGCGGGGAGTGTTATCCTTCAGCCGAGAAGAGTGACAGTTGTGCGTGTTTGATTTACAGATTGGATTGGCTAGAGTATCTCTTGCTTTCAAAGCTCCATTTATTTCTCAAAAAGTCAGCGACAGATTTGCCATAGGCATGTCTGGAGTACATTTATTGTTTTTTCTTTTTTTAGGTATATACAATCAATTTGGAATCTCAGTACTTATTAATACAAGGAGTTCCTGCAGTGGGAGCCATGAAGGAATTAGTTGAGCGATTTGCTCTGTATGGTGCGATTGAACAGTATAACCCTCTAGATGAATACCCAGCAGAGGATTTTACAGAAGTTTATCTCATTAAATTTGTGAAATTACAAAGTGCAAGGTATGTACAAGTTAAGCAGTACCCACGTTCCTGTATTCCTGTTGCTGTCATTTTGGCCCTGGGATTTTCCCAAACATGTCCACGTCACATATTCACTCTAGATCTCCCTGTTTGTTTGTTTGTTTGTTTGTTGTTTTAGGGGGGTTCGAGACAGGGTTTCTCTGTGTAGCTCTGGCTGTCCCGGAACTCACTCTGTAGAACCAGGCTGGCCTCAAACTCAGAAATCTGCCTGCCTCTCCCTCACCAGTGCTTGGATTAAAGGTGTATACCACCACCTCCCGGCTTCCTGTTTGTTTCTTACCCTTCCAGGCTTCACATGTGCTAGTCAAGCACCGTAACAATAATTTACATCATCAGCTAGCTCGCTCTTCAGCATTTTCAAAGGCTAACTTTATGAAACTACTATTTCCATTCTCTCATATCTGTGCCTCACTGTTTTTGAAGCAAATTTCCAATCCTATGTCCTGGTTCCTTCGGAGATTTTAAAATCCTGCTAAGCACGGTTTTTCCTCTTCTTAAGATCCAGCTAAAAGCATGTGCCGCCACCCTGCACTCTGTTGTGTTTTTTGAGGTAGGGTCTCACTGAGTCTAGAGCTCATCAGCTAGAATGAAGCCTACTGAGCTTCAGTGACCCTTCTGTCTCCCCCTTGCCGTGCTCAGCCTTTTTGTGGATGTCAGGGATCTGAACCTAGGCACTGAGCCTGAGCAAGTGTTTTAGCTTAGCTGAAACACTATTGAAATTATTAGTAGAGGGAAAAGGAGAATGATTTCTTGGGGTTGGAGGATTGGCTCAGTGGTTAAGGTAGCTTGCTACTCTTTCAGAGAACTGGGGTTCAGTTCTCAAGCACCCTATCATGTGGACCACAACTACTTGTAACTCCAGCCCCACAGGATCCAGTGGCCTCTTCTGGTCTCTCTCTGTACATGTACAGAACACATACATACAAGTAAATAAATTCTAATATAAATCTTTTTATTAACTTTCTGGGTGAGTGGGGTCATCCAAAAACAAAGCATCTTACCCAGTCCCCCCCCCCCCAATACACACACACCAAAATACTTTGCTCCTTAAACTATGGAATACCTGTTAAGCTTTTTTCTTAGGTAAATCTGGTTTTAAAAGCCATGGCTGGGGAGATGGCTCTTTGTCGATTAAGAGCATGTACTACTCCTGCACAGGACCTGGGTTCGATTCCCAGCAACCAGGTCAGGTGTCTGTAAACTCTAGCTCCAGGCCAGAGCCTCTGCACATACTTACACATAATTAAAAATAATAATAATAATAAAATAACTTTCTCCCAGCACTGGGGGAGGCAGAGGCAGGCAGATCTCTGTGAGTTCAAGACCAGCCAGATTTACATAGTCCAGGAGAGCCAGGCCTACATAGTGAGACCCTATCTAAAAGAGAAACAAAAAGCAAGCAAGCAAGAAAAAGCTGTGTATCTGGTGCTAGAGAGGTGACACAGAAGCTAGGAGCACTTATCACTGTTCCAGAGAACTCAGATTTGGAGTTCGGTTCCCAGCACCCATGTCAGGTGGTTCACAACTGCCTGTAACTTCAGTTCCAGGGAATCCTGGAACTGGCCTTGTTAGGCAACTGTACTCACATGCATGTATTCACATGCAGACATACGCCTTTGCGCAAGTGTAAATAAAAACAGTAAAAGTAAATAGTTTGTTTTAAGCCATGTAATTTATGTATTTCTCTTTTGAGTTCTCTTTAAATTATCTAATTCTCTTTAGGATAGCTAAGAAAAAGATGGATGAACAGAGTTTCTTTGGTGGGTTACTTCATGTGTGCTATGCTCCAGAATTTGAGACAGTTGAAGAAACTAGAAAAAAATTAGAAGAAAGAAAGGCTTACATTGCACGAGCTACTAAAAACAAAGGTAGGCAAAGTCTGTTGTAAACACCCTCTGTGTATCGGGCACTGCTGGGGATGTGTGTCATCTTGGAGTTCCTGCTCAGTCATGATCTCCGGGGACTTGACCCACAGGTTCGGTGAGCACTGTACAGTCTTGACTAGAAAGGGAGAGGTGTTGGTCTGTGGAATATTTCCTGTGGGATCTGAGAGGTGGTTGAATTTTAGCAAATGTTATCCAGAAAGGGAGTAGAAAAGATGGAAGGTGCACCAGGTTACATGTTTAAACCTGGGGAAATAAATTGCCACCATTCATTTAAGGAGCCATAAGTCCTACAGAGTAACCAAAATACCAAGGCTTTAGTGAGAGAGATTAGGGAAGTAGACAGGAAGCAAACCAGGAAGTGCCCTGTGTCACCTCCTGAGCAGTCCAGTGATTAACATGAAGGCAAGAAGCAATTGTGATTTGCAGATGTTAGAACAATTTTTGATCAGCAGCTGGTTCAAATGTCTACACGCTCAGCGGAGTTTCTCCTGACACAAGTAGGAACTAAACATGGTTTAACCATATAGTACAGTATTCTGAAACTAAAACTTTCTATGCAATGGTATGGGAAACTTTCTAAGATTACAGGTAGTGGAAAATGTAAAAGAATAGATTTTATTATCTTTTAAGTAGGGAGAAAAGGAGGCTCCAGGGGAACTGTGAGACATCCTAGATAGATGAATAAGAAAATGTAGTAATTAAGTAGAGAAAGCAAGGAAAAAGGGAAGCTTGACACAGTACCTTCTCCTGTCCTTTCAAAAGCCTTTAAATCTTATCAGTGCATTCCCTGCTCTATAAGTATAATTTTGGGAGTAGAGCTTGTTAGGTTTTAGTGGTGGTTTTAGAATTACAAGATTCTGAATTATCAAAATGATTAATGAACCATTTGTTTACCTTTTCTTCAACTTCTAAAAATATAACTTTGAAGACTATTATATGACAAAGAAGAAACTGGTTCCAGAGCAAAAAGGAACAAAAGATTCTGGACAAGATTTCCATCCACATGTGCCTGGATTTAGCACAACTGCCTTGAACAGTTCTACTGAGAACTCAACTCCTTGTCTTCCTTATTCTTGTGAATTGCCTTTATGCTATTTTGCCTCTCAAGCATATGGAGAACATATAGACAGAGCATCAAACTCCTGTAGTAGCAGTAGGAACCATAGTGAACTATCAAACCATCTTAACTACAGTACCTGTTCCCCAAAACTACAGATAAACACTTACAAAAATTCACTACCTTGCACTAGTGTGCAAGAGGCCATTACTACCTCAGAGTCAGTCGGCAGATTTATGCCTAGGACAACACAGCTACAGGAGAGGAAAAGAAGGCGAGACTGTGATCATGAACTTGGAACTTTTCCTGAAACAAACACAGGCAGTAACGAGGTTGTGATTGGACCTAAGTTACCAGGTATTCCCACTGTGGATCTGCAAGATGACTCCTTGAATACAACGGCAAATTTAATTCGGAGTAAACTTAAAGAGGTGAGGTAATTGTTTATTAATTGAGGTAATTTAGTTGTAGAGTCAACAACTATATAGGAAATTATTCAGAGGAACTAAAACATTGTAATTATTTGTTTTTGATTTATTTTCCTACCTTTATTTTCTAAAACAATAAATTTGATCGGTATCTATTTGGCAGTAATTCTTGGTTTAACAGTGAACAGATATATTTTTATGTCAGCATAGGTACAAAATTTATATGTTCCAATCAGACTATGATAGTAGATTCCAGAAGTTGTCTCTCCTCCCCTCCCCTTTTAAAATTTCCTACGTAGTAATAACAAGCCAAAATTGACCGTTATAATCAATTATTTCTCTTAAATTCAAAGTTACTGCAGATTGCATCAAAGTCCTAATGCTTTTGTGATAGATATCCATAAAACAATGATTTTGATTACTTAATCAGTTAGTTTTGTCGGGAACAGACCGAAGGGATTTGTGGTAGGCAAATGCTCCATCACTACCGTATCCGAAACCCACGAGGTGAGATTTCTAAGACGAGGTCTTAGCTCAGAACTTAACAAGATCTGAGCTAGTTGGAAATCACATTGTCTTTTTCCCATTATTTACACGATTTTTTATTTCCTAAACACAAAAGAAAGTTAGTGTCTGAAGTAGCTTATGAAAGCTTTGTTTTTGTGGAGTGGAGATGGGCCTTGTCAAAATCCTGCATGGAGGGCCGTGAGCATGTTCTTACAGTTAACTCCCAGGTTCAGAGTCCTGTTCACAGGTGCTCTCCCCTTCTGCAGTGTGACAGAGGCCAAGGTAGCCTCATTTCTTTTACAGAGAGCTTTATTTTCACCTAGTGAATATTATTTGGTAAAGGATGAGGAATTGCTTAAAATATCATGTACATGAACATAATTCTACCTAAGTTTTTCAGTGTATGCCAGCGCAGTGTGTCTTTAGGTGCTCTGAACTGAGGCAGAGTCACTGCTGTCACAGTCAGGGCTGACCACATTTTTAAAGTGTAAAGTCTACACCCCACACATGGATGGTCTTATATTGCTTTTGACTTACTATTAATAGTTATTTGGGTAATAGAATAATAAGAATGTATTCAGTATTCATAGAGCAAGTTCTTTATGTTTTTGCTTTTTTAACTAGTTGGAGAAGCATTGGTGTTGGCTCTTCTTTAAGGGTTAGGGTGATGGGAGATGTCATTCTGTAAATATGTTTCTGATACTGGTTAATGAATAAAGTACTGTTGGCCAATAGGAAAGCAAGATAGGCAGGAATAGGAAACAAGGAGGATTTGAGGAAGTAGTAAGGAGGAGTCAGCATAGAGAGACTGGGGAGAGGGACACCGGCCCCACTCTCTGGTAAGATGAGACCACGTGGAAATACTTAGATTAATAGAAATAGGTTAATACTTAAGACAGAGCTAGCTGATAAGAAACTAGTATGGCCAACGGTATAATATCAAATACAGAGTCTCTGTGTGTTATTTGGGGCTGGTGTGGCAGTGTGGTCAGACCAGCGGGAAAAACCTACTCGCAACAGTTAGGGCAATTCAGGAGTGGATCCATTGGTCCTGGACATTACTTTTCTAGGAACTTTATTGGTGCTTTAATCTTGTTGCTTGTCATGGATATATTTCAATAGTTTATATCTTCTTGTATTAATTTTAATAGGCCATATTGTCAATTATACCAAACGAGAGTAAAGACCATTACCCAAATTCTTTTAGTTGAATTAAGCAAGCTTTGTTTTCTGTCAGCCAGGGCTGTCTCCCTAATGCAGGATTTGAGGAAATAGCATTGAACACAGAAGAGAGTGGGATTCATATAGCTCAGGAACTGCAAGGTGAGAGGGCTCTCAAGGGTTAAGAGTTTAGGAATTTTGGTTATGTAGGAATTTGGCAGAACATCTCACAGGGTGGAGGTCAGGGTATAGGATAGAAACATGTCAAATTCCAAGAAATGGGTCAAGACATGGTCAAATCCAAGTTTTACAGGAAGCAGAATGAACTTGACCTTGTAACCAGATGGCTTCTAATGTTAAGATGAGTCAGGCTGGACCATCAATATATTGCCTAAGAATTTATCTATTCCAGATTTTCCAGGTTTTTAGAATATGTTTTCAGGGAATTCTCTGATGATTCTCTGAATTTTACTGGAATCTGTTGGAACCTACCTGGTCTTTTAGTTTGATTCATTGGTTGGTTTTGGTATGTTTGTACTTTCTCCCTCTCTTAGTTTGTTAATCATACATTTGCAAGGAAAAAAATCCTTATTTGGTTGGTTCTGTGTTCTTTTATTCTACATGTGCTCATTTCTGTCTCAAGTTTTATTCTCTGCTGTGGTCTACTGCTGAGTGACTTCTTTCTTTTCAAACTAGGTGATTTCATCTGTACCGAAGCCTCCAGAGGGCAAATCTGAAGATGTGCATACAAGTCACCCACAAAAACAAAGGAGAAGAATATAGCTTGCCAGTGAGTTATTCTTGTCTGTTCTTTCTTTTTCCCTTTTGAGCCAGTGTCTTGCCGGGTAGCCCTGGCTGGCCTGGAATTTACTATGGAGATCAAGATGGCCTTGGGCCTCTGCCACCTGGGTGTTGGGTTTAAAGGTATGTGCCACCACACCAAGCTAAATTGATATTCTCTGGAAAGATCTTTTTTTTTTTTTTTTTTTTTTTTTTATGTTTAGCCCATTTTAATTCTACTGGTGTTTTAAAGCAAACTATTTATTTTTAATTTCTTTTAAACTGTTTGCAAATGTTTTAATCTTTTTTTGGATCTACACTCAGTGTGACAGAAACTGTTCTTTTCACACTGTCTCCTTTATCATTTTTTTGAGACAAGATTTCTCTGTGTAGCCCTGCTGTCCTGGAACTCAACTCTTGTAGACCATGCTATTCTCAAACTCACAAAGATCTACCTGCCTCTGCCTCCCAAGTGCTGGGATTAAAGGTGTATGCCACCACCATCCGGCTTGTATTAATTATTACAATACTTAAATTGTTTGAAACAAATATAAAAAAAAACCTATAATGCAAATAAAAGTAGTCAGGATCTGACTTTTAATTCAGGTATTGAGCAGTTTGTGTTCAAAAGCTAGTAGTCAGGTTGTTTCTGAATACCAGAGCTTCGAAATGAAGGCAATTCTGTAAAGGAAAAATGCAATAAAATGTTAGAACAAAGTTGGTATTAGAAATCTACATCCTAGGCTGTGCGGTGGTGGCACATACCTTTATTCCCTATACTCAGGAGGTAGAAGCAAGCCAAACTCTGAGTTTGAGGCCAGCCTGGCTGGCTACACAGAGCTACACAGAGAAACCCGATCTTGAAAAACCAAAAGAAAAAAAAAAAAAAAAAAGAAAAAAAGAAAGAAAAAGAAATCTACATGGTATCTAACTTCTAAGAATAATGTCCATGCACTATGGTGAGCCAAAAACTAATCAATTTTGGAAATTTTAGGTTTTTACCCTGTCAACATATCTGTATTTTTTCTTTTGTCAATGGATTATGTAATTTTGTACAGACTGTTTCTATTTTCTTTTCTGGGAAAAAATAAACTGAGAAGGCACATGCTGCCCCGTGTGCTATATGGATACCAGTTCTTGTCCCGAAGGCTTTCTTCAGGTTGGATCTGACTGTGTTGTAAGAATAAGGGTTACTTCAGTTGCCATGATGTACTATCAGCTCTGCCAGTGTGACTTTTCAGAGCCAGATAATGCTGCAGGAAACTGCCAACGAGGGGTTAGGTTCTACATGCAAGAGAGGTGATTACATAGATTGCTGTGCTGAAATCTCAGGCACAAGATATACTAACAGACTTCACACAGAGCTGGATCAGGCTGCTCAGCTATAAAGCTGTGTCTCTACCTCAGGACCCTGGTATATGCAGTGTGTCACAATGATAGGAGGAGGAATAAGGAATTGCTTAGTGGGTGCTGAATTGCATTTTCACAGGATGAAAGGGTTTTGGAGATTTTATTATACTGCTAAAAATGGTTAAGATGCTAATTTTCCATGTAGTGTAGTTTGTAGCAATCCAGAAACTTCTCTATGGCCTTCATGGGAGGAGCTGTTATATGGGTTCTCTGTTCATAAGTACATTCCTGACCTGTTTTGTGAGTGTGAGAAGAGTGTTTGATTATCCACCTTCACTAACATACACAGTAGTGGCTGTGATAGGAAAGGAATGTGTCATGTCAATCATAAAAATAGGAAGAGGAGGCTGGAAGCATCTTCAGGGGTTCCCAGTAGAGGTACCACAAGACCATCATGTAATGGAACTGTTTGCTGGCTGCTCCATCCTAAATGATCTTCCCAGGATTGTCCATTTCTGCTAAGCTGTGTTGAGTCATCATTCTCTCTCTCTCTGCCCATGCCCCGGGATGTGTGTGTGTACATGTATGTATGAAGATGCCTCCTGCCTCTTTATCTTTCCCTGTTTGACATGGTACATGCTCATTCCCTTTTTCTTTGTGTGGTCAAAAAGGTAACACGCTAAATCAGTCTGTTAACTATAATTACTGAAATAGTAATACCATCTTTAGTCCCAAACTGGAATGAGGCTGATAGCTTTATGATTGTCTACAGTTTAGCAATGGGTTGAAGCCACAAAGGTGAGAGGCCATCATGTATTATTTTCTAGTCCTTTAAATTTTTTCCTTAATTGGGCCAGCAAGGTGGCTCAGTGTATAAAGACACTTGCATAGAAACCTGATTACCTGGGTTCAATTCCCTGGGACCCACATGGTAGCAGGAGAGAGCAGGCTCCTATAAACTGTCTTCTGACCTCCACACAAGCATGGTGGCATGTCCTAGATTGGGTTGCTATTATGAAGCACCATAACCAAAAGCAAGCCGGGGAGGAGAGGGTTTATTTGGCTTATATCTCCACTTGTAGTCCATCACTGAAGGAACTCACACAGGGCAGGAACCTGGAGGCAGGAGCTGATGCAGGCCATGGAGGAGTGCTGCCTACCAGCTTGTTCTTCATGGCTTGTGCTTTCTTACAGAACCCAGGACTTCCAGCCCAGGGATGACAACCACATTGCTCTGGGCCCTTCCCCATCAATCACTAATTAAGAAAATGCCTTACAGCTAGATCTTATGGAGGCATTTTCTCAGCTGAGGTTCCCTCCTTTCAGATGATTCTAGAATGTGTCAAGTTGACATGAAATGAGCCAGCACATGGCATGTGAACCCTCCCCCCACATACACATAAATAAATGTTAGATAATTTTAGTGAAAAATTTCCCACATCCACTTTAAGCTTGTAGTATTTGTAAAACTACCTTTGCATCTGGTAGACATGGTCCAAATACCTCCAACAAAAGCCTGTCTTTTCTCACTGCTTTTTCAAAGTCTGCAAAAGAGATCTTGCCATCATTGTCATGATCCTAGAGAGAAAGATGATTTCATGATAAATGATCAAAATCTCCTTTAATTTTGCCATAGAAAACAGCTATCTAGACTGGCAAGTACAACTCTAAGTTCTTACTGCTGAAGGCATTATCTATCATCTATCTCTCTGTTTCTCCCACTGTTGTCTGTCTCTGTGTCCGTCTGTTTGTGTGTATGCGACAGTCTCATAGTGTTGCCTCAGCTCATCTTGAACTTGCAGTCTTTCAGATATCTAAGTGCTGGGATTGCAGGTGTGCACTACCATGCCTACTCTTTCTTCTCTGAGTCTCTGAGTTTGCTGGGGCAGCTCTGGGTTCACTAAGCCCCACTGCAAACAGTCCCGGCTTCTTGTAAGAAAGAGTGCACATTGCTGTTCCTGTAACAAGGAGCCACTACTGCCGGGCTTTGCTGCTTTCATTCTGCACCACAATTTCTCTGCTTCAGTTTTTCTCATCCGCAAAATGGAGCTAATAGTTCTGAGGATAAAATGAATGAGTACTTATATAGGGCCCTGAAAGGCCTGCTATGTAGTAAGTACTCTGTAAGGGTCAAATATTTTTTGTTGTTATTTCACTGAAATGAGGATTTAGATAAATTGAAACAGTGAGATAATGAAGACAAAAAACCCATGAAAATTTACATCGATTGAATCCAGCCATCCCCCAAATTGACGAGGTTTTACTGATAGTAATATTTGAAAATAATTAAACTAGCATTTATTTTGCATAGTCACCGAACCATTCCATATGTACTGAGCACCTACTTTTGAGTGAGGCACTGTTCTAGGTAGTGGGTAGAGCAAAAGAGCGAATAAAAAAGCAAGTGAGAACTGCTTGTAGGCAAGCTCGTAAGCAGCATTGCTGGTTCAGTGGTCCCCCGCGGCAGCTACTTGCTTGAATGCAGTGCACTGCCATGCTCATGCTTACCATTTTCTTCAGGATTATGTCCACCAACTCCCTTATGCCTTCATCATTCTCCTCTTCAGGGGACTGCTGGGAGAGACTGTTCTTCAACATGTCAAAAATTTTTTCTCGGGAAATATAACCATCTCCAGTTAAATAATAAACTTCAAAACAGACTTTATAAAGCATAGGAATCAAAAATTGAACCAATAAAATATTAGTTATTTCAGCATAAGATGATAAATGATAATTATACAATGACTGATCTGATCCATTATATGCAGAGGTTTTATAATAAAGCGCTTCTTGTTAAATTCCTTTCCACAGGATTAAATACCTCTTGGGAGCTAGAAGAACAGCTCACAGTCCCTGGATTTGGGAGTTGAAAATGGTATCAAACTGCAATAAATGAAGTGGATTTTTTAACCAACTTCTGTTTGTATGCTTGCATATGTATGTTGAGAGAAGTGTGTGTGGTATGTTTGTATTCTCTGATATACACTATATATAAAAATAAAGCACACACTTTACTGCACCCTTGGAAAAGGACTCCCCCAACCCAGTCATCTCCTTGGGTTCTGCCCATCTTCCTTATCTATCTTCAAGCCTTTCTCTGGAGAGGAACCTTCCGTGCCTTCTCTCTCAGATGACCTTACTCATGTCCTGGGAATGTAGCAGTGAAATAGCTTTCCTGGAGTTTATTAATAGTGTAGTTATATGTCTCAGCAAAAACCAGGAATAAATGAGTGTCAGATAATTGGGGTATCTGTTAAATTTAAATTTCTCCAGTCCACAACATAACATGTAAGTTGAAGAACAAGCCTACTGTAGAAATAGTGTCCTCCTAATGAATTTCTCCTAAACTGTATGAAGCATTTTAGGAAGTGGGATTAGGGAAACACATTGTCTTCAGTGTGATGCTAACTAATGATGTAACTCTGTTCAGTGCCACAACTGTGTTCAGTGATGACTGCTCCCATGAGGATTGACACTCATGACACAGCTTTCCACTTCTCCGTGACACTTGTGTACGAACTCTGTTATGGTCGGAGGAGATGAAGTGGAGTGGATAAGAACATGTGAGGCTCTGGATTCAATCCCCAGCACTACACCCTAAACACCATAGAGTGGGAACTGTACTTCATGAAATAGTGCAAAAAGAACTAAAGAGAACAGAGTCAGAGAGGTTTGGTATTCGAAATACTGCTCTAAAATGTTAATGAATCTTTAGCTCAGAAATATTTCATTAGAAAATGTATGTCTATGGAGGTGTATGCCCTGTATGTACAGGTTCCTGCAGGGGCCAGAAAAGGGTATTGGATCTCCTGGAGCTAGACAGATTACAGACAGTTGTGAGCCATCAGTGTGGGTGCTAGTAATCAAACTCGGGTCTCCTGGGAAAGCAGCAAGCACTCCTATTCCCTCTACCCTTCAGGCATCTTCTTTTTTCTATGTCCCAAATTAAAATTCAAGTGAAAGAGCAGTAGGATATACAAATCTGCTCATCTACAAAGAACTGCAGTCTTTTCTTAAGCAAATGGATATGCTAAGCAGTTTGCTTCCCTGAAAACTGGTGTCTAAAGTGGTTTTTATTCTGTTTGCAGGATTCTTCACAGGGAACTCTGACAGCAGGAGTAAAACATAGGAAATGGGCATCCCCCTGGGAGTGGTGGTGGGAGTTGTAGGCCAGAGCTGTTGCCGTGCAGAGCTGTAGATCAGGACAAGCTTCCCAATGCCCAGTGGGCTTGAATTGTCTTCTGCCTTCTCTCACTTCCCTCTCCTCAGTCATGAAGACCAGAGGGATAGTAATGTCTGCGCTGTTAGTGTGTGCTGAGCTTTGTTCTCATTCTCTTGTGGAGGGCACATTTTCTTCAGTGGAAAGACAACAAATGATGCCAAAGTAACACAGGCACAACCCAACATTGAGACCCATTTCCTGCCAAGCTTAGACTCAGAAACCTTAGCTTTGTCAGCTGACCCTTAGTGGCTGTTCTTAACCTGGGCTGTAAGCAAACACCCACCCTAGTGACAATTGAGCATTGCAGACTTAGTAAGTCACAACTGGGTCCCCCAATTCATCTTTTGTGGGCTTTTTCTTTTTTAAGATTTATTTATTATGTGTACAGTGTTCTGCCTGCATACCACAAGAGGGCACCAGAGCTCATTATAGATGGTTGTGAGCCACCATCATGTGGTTGCTGGGATTTGAACTCTGGCCATCTGGAAGAGAAGCCAGTGTTCTTAACCAGTGAGCCATCTCTTCAGCCCTCCTTTTCTTACTTTTTTACATTTATGTATGTATACATGTATTTATGCTCATGGAGGTCAGTGAACAACTTTCAGGGATTGGTTCTCCTATTGTGTAGGTTCTGGGGATTTTACTCAGGTTGTCAGAACTGGTGGCAAGCGCCCTCACCTGACAAACCATTTGTCAGGTGTTTTAGATGTCCTGAGGCATTTTCAAAGGTTGTTTTAGAGAGTACTGATTTCAGCTTTTTGATTATATAAGCATTCACTTGTGAACAAACATTCCTGGAAAGAAGTACATCAACAAAGGCTGATGGATGAGAACTTCACTCAGTTTGGAATGTTTTGGGTAGAGAGCCTAATTACAATTTATCTTGGGCTGTCTTTGGCCCCTTTAAATGTCTATTTTCTACCTCTGAGTGAGACCTACCACCCTGTGGCTATTAGGTAAATCCTTTGGAATGTTTCCACCAGTCCGGAAGCTGAGTGTGTCATCAGTAAGGCCATACTGTGACCACCTGCCAAATGCTGCCACCATGTATTTGGAAAGTGTTTTGAGTTTCTTTGTGCAATTTCCGTAAACCTGAATGTGTTGCCAGCTGTGGTGACTCTAAATTAGCTCCAGAATAGATGCTGTTGTCACTTTGTGGGTGACAGCTCTGTCAGTGTACCAGCACAGTAAACTTCTTACATTTCATCTTTTCTTCAAAAGTCCCTCGGAGAAACACTGACAATCCTTTAACCCACTCCTGTATGTTTACATAGTTATCACAGTCTTTGTCAAATACAAAGAACACTGTAAAAGAAAAAGAATGTGTGAGCGTATTGTAACTTTTATTATTTGTTTAGGTAGATAGCTTTTCTTACAAATCGAGGGGGTTATCAAAGTTATTGGAAATGTGGGTTTCCCTCTATTTCTAAAGCAGAGGAGTCATTCCACACAATGAGCAATAATGATTTTCATTTCTGGTATCTCATGCTAAAGCCAAGAAAGTCCACAGAGCTGATTAATAACATAATTTAAATAATCAAAAATAAAAAGTGGTGAAAAATCTGTTGTAGTTTTCAAAATATCTCAAAGTAAATTACTAATGTTAAACATTATATTTTTCAGTTCTTATGTAGTTATCCTCTCTCTCTCTCTCTGTGTGTGTGTGTGTGTGTGTGTGTGTGTGTGTGTGTGTGTGTGTGTTTGTGCATGGCCCTTGTGTGGAGGTCAAAGCCTTGTAGACCTGGCACCTTTACCTGGTGAACTGTCTTTCTGGTCCAGTTGTTAAACTTACCAGTAAAACTTTATTATCCTATAGATAATTTGGAGGGTGAGGGATGTATCGATGACTTGATTTGTGCCAGTGGCTTCACAGGTATGTGTGTGTCAAATCTTACCAAAATGTATATGTTAATGCTTTACTACAGAACTTAACTGGATATACCTGTTTTAGACATGTGACATTAAATATTTTCAATATAAGGAGTCATTATTTTTCTATGAAGAAAAAAAAAGTCAATTTATGGTTGACACATGGTGGCATGGACTTTCATGGTTAAAAGCCCTTAGTTATTTAGCCTTTAAAAAAAAATACTGCTAAACTCTTTAGTTCAGGGTGGTGACTTCTCAAAACTTCCCTGCTATAAGCTACAAAATTCTAAGTGGGTTTGTATAAAGAACCATCTTCAACCCCCCACCCCAATCTCCAGGTACTGTTTGCAGCCCTCTCCTAGTAGAATTATTCCTTTCTAGTTTGGCACTGAGGGCAAATCTAGTCTTGTGAAAAGGACATGCAGATGGGTTCAGTTTTCAGGTGGTACATTTCAGTTTGTTGGGTCTTCTTACCCCTATTCATCAACATATCATCAGTCATTCCAAATATGTTGTGCAGGATCCCTCGAAATGTGTTGCAGTCCATGCGGGCATTAGCAAGCTTTCCATTGGGTTTCTCTACCAAGCTAAAGAAAAGGCGTAGGAGACTTTCAACTTCACTTTTCTTGACTGTAAAATGAGAAGAAAAATAAGGTGTAGAGTTAATCACTGAGTTATTTGCAGCAATCGCAGCTATTTAGTTCTTATGCCTAATGGCTGTATATGATGTGATGGTGTGGATTCGTTAGAGTAGTTTGTAGTGTTTTGCTTCTAGCAGGCTTCAAATGGAAATTTGGAATAGTCACACAGTCAGCTAACATCTTAGTGATTTTTCCTTGTTTTTGTTTTGCTCTTTGTTTTTCAAGACAGGATTTCTCTGTCAAACAGTCCTGGCTGTCCTGGAACTCTGTAGACCAGGTTGGCCTCAAACTCATAGAGATCCACCTGCCTCTGCCTCCGAGTACTGGGACTAAAGGTGTGCATTACGACTGCCTGGCAGAAAGTGACATATAGGCATGTACAGTTAACTGGTTCAGTCAAGACAGGAATCAGGCATTCAGCCCTGGGGATGGGACAAGACTCTACGCGTCTGGACTCTTTTCCATTTCTTTATTAGGATTTATTTATTTTGGTCTTATGACTATGTATGTGGGTGTCTTCCTGGCAGGTATAACTGTGCCACATGAGTGCAGTGTCCTTGGAGGTTAGAAGAGGGCATTGGATCTTTGGGACCTGGAGTTGTAGATGGTTGTGAGCCACCATGTGAACCGAGCTCAGGCCCTCTGCAAACATCTCTCTAATCCCAGTTTCCCTTTCTTGTCCTCAACAGGAAGACTAAGAACTCATCAGTGCCTTCTCTAGGAACAGCTGAGTAATGCCCTGGGTGATCTCAGATCCCGGAGTCTGGTGAATGTCTAATTCTGTGACTCCGCAGCTATTTGAGACAGCTGAGTGACAATTGGTTGCCACCTATTTTGTTTCCTTTTTGCTTTTTCTCGATCCTTTCCTCGTCTTTGTGGAGGAAGGCGAGCAGAAAAAAATAATTTCTCTGTAAATAATCAGTGTACAACAGGTGGGTTCTATGTGGTTTGATTAATGTAGTCAGTCGTTCTTAGGGTAGTGACTGATAATTTAGAGAGTAAGCAGTTTCAAAGGTGCCTAATAACATTTATTTTGTAAACCAAATTAAGATCTCTTGCCCCTTAATATAATTTCATACTATACCAGTACAGCCCTGAAATAGGATGTAATGGCTATTTTTATTCATTGTCTAAGTCTTTTATTAATTTTAAAGTTTAAATTAAAAACAATCTCATTTTACACATCAATCCCAATTCCCTCTCCCTCCTGTCCTCCCATTCTCCCCACCAATGCCCCCATCCACTCCTCAGAGAGGATGAGGCCTCCCATGGGAGATCATCAAAGTCTGTCACATCATTTGGGGCAGGACCAAGACACACACACACACACACACACACACACACAGGACCAAGACACACACACACACACACACACACATTGAGGCTGAGCAAGGTATCTCTCTATAGGGAATGGGCTCCAAAAAGCCAGTTCATGTACTAGTTTCAGTTGGGGGGGAGTTGGGCAGTCAGTCTTTGGGGCCTCTGGTAGAGGAATCAGTATTTATCCCTTTGTCTGAGTTTTATGGGACAGCCATGAACCAGGGAGCTGATACAGGCATGACCCCTGCCTTGGAGGCTAATGCAAGCTTGTCAAGAGATGCATAAGGGACTGGGGTACGGTAGGGTACTTGCCTAGTGTGTGTTGATCTCCAGCTGCTCTTAAACCAATTGTTAATTAAATAAAGTATTGTAAATCACAAACCAAAGGGAGGGATTACCGACTAGGGAAGGTGCTAAGAGATGAAATATTCTAAGTGGAGGTGTCTGGAGCAGGGCCTCTTGAAGGAGTAGTACTTACTTACCTAGGAGGCAGCTTCAACACTTGGGGCTTTTGAGTGCTGAGGGCAGCAGCTCCATGGGACATGTTGGCAGATTTTTTAAAATGGGAAATACTATTTTTTTTAAAAAAAATTCCAAACATAATATTTTTATTATTTGGGAATTCCATGCAATGCACCCCATCACACTCACTTCCCAATACTTCCAAGTCCATCCCCACCATCGTACCCTCCCCTGCTCCAAAAAAGAGAAAAAGAAATACACCAAGTCCGATTTATGTTGTCCATATACGCATTGGGGGCATGACCAAACTTTAAGGCCAGCCCCTTAAAGATAACTGAGTCATCAGCTGTGAAGAGCTACACTTTAACTTCTCTATTACAATTTTTTAAGGGCTCTCTTCAATGGCTTCCATCTAGGTTGTTTCTCTTTGGGAGTATGGGGGCTGGAGGAGGTTGTCACAGAACCCTTCAGTGGCTCTATTCTCAGTTGAGTCTGCAGCCTTCATCAGTACCACTGTAGAAGAGCTTGCTTGTCCATAACAGCCAGGAGCAGCCTGGATTATGGACATCAACATGGTGCCCAGTGGCAACAAGGACTACAGGATACATACACGGCCTGCAGCTGTAATGCGGACTACAGACCAACGTGGTCCCTGGTGGGAACTTGGATCATGAACCTCACCTTTGCATATCTTAAAATACAAAAATTACCAAACTATGTTGGTTGATAATCAGACCTTTATTTAAGTTTTGAACCACTTTCATAAAACATTCTTGATATTATTTTGGAATGGAATATCAGCAATTTGTATTTTGCTCTGATCATATCAATCTATCTTTTTTTTGTGTGTGACAATGTAACCCAGGCTTGCCTGAATGTCTTGATCTACTGCCTCAGTTTCCAAACTAGTGTTACTGGCATGTGCTATTGCCTCCAGCTGTGTGACTTCTGATTTCATTGGATAAATGAGGTCTGAGTAGCTTCCTTAAAAACTAGTGAGAGCCAGGAGTTAGTGGCACACGCCATTAATCCCAGCACTTGGGAGGCAGAGGCAGGAGGATCTCTGTGAGTTCCAGTTCAGCCCTGGTCTACAAAAGCTAGTTCCAGGACAGGCTCCAAAGCCACAGTGAAACCCTGTTTCCAAAAACAAAAACAAAACTATTGAGATTTGACTGGGTGTGGTGGTGCACGCCTTTCATCCCAGAAGGCAGAAGCAGGTGGATCTTTGAGTTCAAGCCCACAGTGGGTTCCAGGCCCTGTCCCAGACAAAACAATGCAGTGAGATTTTTGTGACCAGTTCAGCTAATAGCATACAGTGAAAACAGGGCCCTATGATTGAAGGACAATACCAACTGTAATGCTTCCATTTCCTCTGACTCAAACCTTTCCATCCAGGAGGGAGGCTCATGCAGACCAACAACCGGTAAGGTTCAGGAAGGTGAAGTCTGAGGATGCTCCTGAAAGTTGTGCTTTTGAATGTCATATAAGTGGTAACAAACACTTGGGAAGGCACTCTCCTACTGACTGCTGCCTGCAGAGATGCAACTTTTTAAATTCTTTGACAGTCATGCATGTATATAACAAATTTTAGTCTTTTTCACCTGCTATGACTCCCCCCCCCCATTGAAAACTTTCCCGCAAGTCATCTTCCCAGTGTCTTTTCTCTGTGGGTGCCACACTGAGTTAATTAAGGGTTGCTTGCATGGCCACATGTGGGAGGTTGTTTACCTCCAGAAAGCATGGGCAATTTACCAGTGGCATACCACTGAAGTGTGATATCCCTTCCCCCAGCCACCATTAACTGTCAGTAGCCCCTGGGGGGGTGCTCATGATGAAATATTGACGGGCTCAATCTTGTCTTGTGTGGGCAATCATGGTTGCAGTAAGTTCATTAGTGCAACAGCAATGCCATGTCAAGAAAGACTTTTGTAACACACCTTCCCATCCTCCAGCTCTTCATTCTCTAAGTCTCCCTGCTTCTGCAATGTTCTTTGAGCTATTTGAGCCTGAGCACTCTACCAGCCTTTACTTCAGCACTTTGACCAGTTAGGAATCTCTATATTACCGCTGCCCATTGCAATAAAACTTTATTGATGAGGACGAAGAGCAGCACTAATTCTATACAAGCATGGGCGTTTAGAAAGCAGTTTGACCATGTCCTCTCAGCAAAACCATTATAGTGGGTTCCTTTGGGGTACTATGATTTCACTGCCCAGCCAGCTCTTGATCAGGGGTAAAGTTCCATGCTCTGGAGCATGCCTTGACTGCAATTAGAAATGGTTACCCCCCAAACATCCATACCGCTACTGCTCCAATAGACACATCTTGCCAGGTCAGTTGCTATTGTAGCTCTTAGTGTTTACAACTAGGTAAGAGTGTTAATAGCTTTCCTCCCCCCAGAAGCCTGCAGTAGCACCACCAGGCACGGAAATGCTAGCCTGCAGGAAGGAAGCCTCAGCTATTCCAGCTTGATTTCTCTTAAGTTCTGTGACCAAAGTGTGATATCTCCAGCAACAGAGTCTTATCTTCCAGCCCTGGCAGGAAGTCAAGAGCGATCACAATAGTATGCATTGTTTTGGGGCTTCTCTAACCAACAACTCAGGGAGATATCCACATCCTGCACTGAGATTTTTGTTTTGTTAACTAGGCTTCTTGGAGTATCAGCAGGGGATGTAGTATTCTTCACTACCCACACTAGAGTGGGCTTTCTGGTGAGATAGATGCTGTGAGTCATCCATGTTCCTATAAGATCCTTTACCCACATTCCTGTAAATAAATTCACTGGCTCGGCATGCTAGACTTGGGTAGAATTGTTTCTTTGTTCTGTTGTATACTGTATGAGTCTCCCCAAGAAAAATTACACTCAACGTGGCAGGATGAAGATCACCTAGGAGATAATGAAATTTCTGGATTGGGTTAACTGAGGCTGGAAGAAGACTCACTCTAAACATGGGCGGTACCATTCTGCCCATGAGGCCCTAAATGAAAAGGGTGAACGGAGCACCAGCTTTCATCTCTTTGCTTCCCAACTGTAGATGCAATGTGACCCTTGCTCCGATGCTTGCTTCCATGGTGTCCCTATCATGGTGGACTGTATCCTTAAATTGCAAGCCAAGATAAACCCTTCCCTTCATACTCTGATTTTGTTGGGCATTTGTAGTACTAAAGTACTACAGTGACTTACAGGTTGGGCAGTGTTAGGGATGCAGCTGTGCAGTTTCTTCTGATGTGGGTTGGCTATACAGTTGCATAGCATAGATTATTTTTGTTTTTTTGTTTGTTTCGGCCTTGGGCTCATGACTCTCCTACCTTAGCCTCCCAAGGGCTGGGATGACACTGCTATACCCAGCTGTAGTAAGCTTTAAATATTTTAGTAATTGGAAATGTTTAGCAGTTTCGATTAATAAAAATATACTTTTAATTAAAAATATTTTAATAATTGACCAATTTGAACAAGGTTCTCCTCCTCTATCCTTTTCATGCAGTCCCCAATGTCAACATTTTATGCAACTTTGGTACTTTTACCAAAGCTATGAGTAATACCAGAGATGGAGTGCTGCTGTAATCATGTATGTATATTAGTCAATACAAAGCCACTTATGTGGGATGGGCTTGTGTATGTTCCCCCTGCTGTATGTTGAGATATTGCCCTCCAATAGTGGTAGTATTAGGAAACAGGACCTTTCTGAAGTGATTCTGTCTGGTGCCCCTGTAAAGCAAGATGCCACTAGCCTATTAGCCAGAAAGTGGGCCGTTCACTCTCCTGAGATTTAGAGTTGCCAGCATCTAGAAGTATAAACTACATTTCCAGGCTCACTTTGTATTATTCCTTTTCCTAGCTCCTGCCCAGTGAATTCTACTTTTATTTGAGAAAGCAGCGGAGTGACTGTTGCTATTGCAGCACTAAACCTTCCATGCAGAGCTCATTAGGAAATGCATGCAAATATGTATGCAAACTGTACAAATGGTATGTTATTTTGCCTCACAGATGCTAGAGGGGGCGCTGCTCTTAAGTTTGAGTTAATTTTATTAAACACTCATGAATACTAAGAATAAAAGGTTTGGATCCACAAGGACAAATATTAAACTTTCCCTCCTTTTCCCAGTAGACAGGGAGATGCAGTTCATAGTGTCCACCAGCTTTTGGCACGGTGCCTGACAAAATGCCTTCAGAGATAAAAATGCAAGCTTCAGTGTTAGGAACACACAACTAAATGAAACAAAGAAACTTAATTTAAAAGCTGCTATTGGACATGTCAATGTAAACAGAGCAGGAATAGCTGGAAAATTCTCTACCTCCTTATATCTTAAGATTGGAGTGAAAAGTTTGAATTCAGTCCCTCCTCTAAAGACTACCTCTAGGTGGCAGTCCATCTCTGATAGTGTAGCTCCTATTATTTTCAAACTTTAATTTTTATTTCTTGTAGCTCAGATTTGCCTTGAACTCCATATAATTGGGAATAACCTTGAACTTCTAATCTTCCTGTCTCTACTGCCATGTTAGGAATACAGGTGTGAGCCACCAATCCCAGGTTATGTGCTGCCAGGGACTGAACCCAGAGCCATGCCCTGGCATGGCAGGCACCTTAGTGCGTTTATCCCCACTCCACAATCTCCTGTCATATTTGAAGTAAGCGATACACAGGCAGTCTACTAGAGAACTGTGAGCCCAGTGTAACTTGATGTAAATCTATTATGAAATTAATATTAATCTGCTAATCCTGCAAGAATGCAGTTTGCACAGCTATGATGCCACTATTCAGAATCCCCTGCCTCTGTGCCTAGACTAAAAGACAATTACTATTTGGAAAAGGGACTGGAATTGTACCTTTAGTGCTGCAACACCCAGTAGACCTTTCTGACATATTCCTATCTGTGTGTTCAATTTGGTAGCCATCCTGCATAGGTAGATACTGACTCTGGAAAAGTGGCTAGTGAGATGAAGAAAACGGAATTATAAGTGTAATCATTTACAGATGGTCATATATAGCTAGTGCCTACCTTTTTGGGCAATGGAACTCTAGAAAGATACTCAAAATTAATAAACACAACTTATATTAAAACAAAGTTTTCTAGACTGATCTAAAAGAATATGGCAAGTTATGTTGTAAAGAATTTCTTTTGTGAGGTCACAGCTTTCTGAGGGTCTGAGGGCTGTTGAGCATAAGAGGCCTTTGTTCATAATGTCATAAATTCTAAAGGTTCCTTCTAGAAGCTTTAAACCAGAGGTTCTCAACCTGTGGGTTGTGACCTCTTCAGCAAACCTCTACCTCCAAAAATATTTATAGTACGATTCGTAACAGCAAATTACAGTTATGAAATAGCAAAACTTTGTGGTTGGGGGGTCACCACAACACAAGGGACTGTCTTAAAATGTCACAGCATTAGGAAGGTTGAGAAACATTAGTCTAAACCAAACCCTAGGAAACTTCTTCATATGGTCCTGGAACACTGTACACCATGAAAAATTAAAACACAAGTTCTCCTAGGAAGCCCAAGGCAAACCAAACCGTCCATGCCCATTGTGTCAGAGCACGATGCAGAAGCCACCAGAGCTGCCTGGGATGACAGGCAGGGTGGACAAGATGATAATCCTTTGTACAGAGGCTCTGAATCTGACCTGTATCAATGTCACCATCAGAAAAGCCAGTGTGTGACTCTAGAAGACTCTAAGGCTTTTGGTTCTCTACCTGTAAACACCTCTCATGTCACAATCCAAGTGTAAAACAGGCAACTAGTTAGACCAGGGAGGGACCCTGAAGGCACAGCTATGCTTAACTACTCAGTCTGAAGATTTGGAGCAAAACTGAAAAATCAATGTCAAAATTTTTTAAAAATGAAGAAATGCAGTAATACACCTGTTTTCGTTTTTGAGGCAGGAAAATGGGATTGGTATGTAAAAGAAGATTGTTTTAAAAATAAATAGTAAAAAGAAAAAATTTCCCATGTTATGAAATAGGCCCCCTTTAAAAAGCAGTAATTGGACTAAGGGAGATGTCTCAGCTGATAAAAATGCTTGCTGAGTAGGACCTGAGTTTGGATCCCCAGCATCCATGTGAAGAGCTGGTGGGTGTAGCAGTTGACAATATCCCAGCACGGGAGAAGCAGACACAAAAGGATCTTGTTAAACTAGTGAGCTCCAGGTTTAGTTAAGACTCTTAAAAAAAGAAACCCTAGGGACTAGAGAGAGAGAGAGAGCTCAGTCATTAAAGCCTAGCACACAACCCAAACCAAACCCTAGAGAAACAAAATGAGACTAAGATACCAGCCTCCCCCACTTACATATTGTATACAGTTCCTCCATGTATGTGAATGCATGTGTATACCATGTGCATATACATAAGCAATAATCATTACTTATAGTACTCATTATTGGCTAAATGTATAAAACTTTAAGTGTTATCTAAAAAACAAGTAATACCAGGGTGGCAAAAAAGACCCAGAGAAGTGCTTAAAGGCGTTGGGTATTTCATAGCCCAATTTGAAAAGTCCCAAAGATGGAAATGTGGAGACTGGCTAAAGTTAAACAAGGCCAATGCCTAGTCAACTAAAGATGACCAGTCAGGATTACTTGAAGTTCTGTCTGAGAAACACTCAAGAGAGGGCCACAGCTTTCAGGGCAAGGACTAACAATCCTGATCTATTAAGTTCATTTTATAGGCAAAGACTTGTAACATGGAAAGCCCCACACTGAGTATTCTGTTTCTGTTTACTACATAGCCCCAGCTAGCCTAAAATTCTCTATGTAGATCAGAGTAGCTCTGAGTTCAGAGACCTACCTGCCTCTAGAGTGCTGGGATTAAAATTGTTCACCAACATGCCTGACTAAAATTATATTTAAAAAGTTTCTTTTTGGGTGTGTATGTGGGTATACCAACATGCCATAAAGTATGAGTAGAGGACAGGACAACTTTGTGGAACATTTTTTCCTCTACTTAACATGTTTGGTGACTAAACTCAAGGCTGTCAGGTATGCATCCCCCCAAGCATCAAGTTCCTTTACCCATTGGGCCATCTTGCTACTCCAACCCTAAAGATTTTGTTCTGATATATGATCTGTATTTATAAATTTTGCTATCATTGTATATATGTACAAGCAAGTGTAGAGGTCAGAGAACTTTTGGGAATTGGTTTTCTTTCCACCATGGTTTCCAGGAATCCAACTCAGGCCATCAGGCTTGCATGGCAAATCCTTTTACCTGCAGAGCCATCTCACTGGCTAAAATCACCTTACTATTTCTATTAGTCCCTGAAGTAATCTGTAACTGAATTTTGTTCCAGAAACCACTGGGACTGTCAAAATAAAATTCTTGTCAACAGAATAAAATCAAAATCTTAAGACACTTTAAGACATCAGGACACCTGATGGCTTGTTTCGAAGTACATGGTGAAGATTCACCTGCTCATCCAATTGTAATTTATTATTTTGTGTGTGGAGTGCAGGTCAAGGACAGCTTTCTGGATTCAGTTATCAAGGCCCCAGAGGCTGAACTCAGGTTATCTGGCTATCTGGCTTGTGTGGCAGTTCTTTTCACACTAGGCCATCTCTTTAGCCCCTTATCACCACCCCCACCTTTTTTTTTTTTTTTTTTTAAGATAGGGTTTCACTGCGTGGCCTTGGCTGACCTGGAACTTGCTATGTAGACCATGCTGGCCTTGGAGATCCACCTGCTTCTGCCTCCCAAGTGCTGGGATTCAAGATAAGTGACACCATGTGCAGCTCTTATTTTTTTTTAAGGACCAAAAAAACATCCAAACTGGATTCTTAGTGTATGGTTACGGAGAACTCACTGGTGTCCAACAAGCCCAACTAATCCACCAACCAACATCTGTCTCCCTGAACCAAGGTGCAGAGGCAGGGTTGGAAACCTTAGTACTCACAGCTCTTGACAGTTTTACTGATGGACTCCACCAGTTTCTTCAGAGCCCTTTGTTCCATCTGAGTGAGAGTGGCTCCAGCACACAGCTTCCCCAAGTAGTCTACTTCCAAGCTAGTGTCCCACACTAGCACTAACTCTATGACTCAAAAGCAGAGTGTGGTCATGGCAACTTCCTAGCAACCAGACAGAATGTTCTCTCTCAAGCAGCTGGGAAGATAAACAAGTGGATGCTGCCACTCAGTACATGTGCAGTTGTATCTATCTGAAACCTGTAGCCATTTTAATATTTAACATCATGTAAAATGGTATTTCTAGTCCCTCAGTCAAAATTAAAAACAATTTTCTCTCTATTTAAACATTATAACTAAAAAAGATTGCAAAGCCCTTCTTTAGATTGCAATGATTTCCCAAATTCCTTCAAAGGCCTAAAGCCACCAAGCAACTTCTCGTGAGACCCACACAGCCTCATATACAGGGGCTTCTCAAATGTAAAGCCTATTTAGTTGCTTCCAATTTACACCTAATGGTAAGAAAATATGGTGTGACTCCTAAGCTGGCTAAAATGTTCACTGTCTCGTTGAATCTTTGTTGTGAGACCTTGGAAGGGCAGACATCTGGCTTCTAGTCTCTGTGTTGAAAATCAACAGGTGAGACAATATCAAAACCATGTTCAGGATTTAGGACACAGTATTCTTTTTGAGGGTGGTGTAAACATAGGGCCTCATGTTCAACCCAAGATACATGAACACATATCCCAGTCCCTCTAAGTTTTTAATAAAATATAAAACAACTTCTATAACAAAGCAGATACAACTGAGAAAAGAAAGATTTCTCAACCTCCCTTTACAAATACACCTGAAGAATGCCAGTGGTTTTAAGTTGAAATATGGCAAATTTCTTGTGTGAAAGCAACAGCTAAGTCTGAAGACAGCAGTTCACATTTGTTTTCCCTGAGGTTACTATATCGCTTATATGAAATGACAGGAAAAGAGGAATCAGCACAGCTTGACTAAAGGTACCAATCTGTATTTTGAATAAAATTACACTTGGACACTCTTAGAGTACTTAAAACATCTAAGGGCAACCACAGGAGTCCGAAGTGACCAAAAAAGCTAGTGCTGGCATCAAGACGTTTCTACAGACATCATCACTTCTGGTAGCTGTCACAGTGCCATTCTGTAACAGACATGCTATGTTTGTAAAATTCACCCAAGAAAGAAAAAGGGCAGTTTTGGCAGAGGAAGGATGTTACTAACTCACACATAATCATAACCATGAAATTAATATAAGGGGCAACATCCCAGAAATAGCCTTTATACCTCTCAGGAGACTGCTATTCTACAGTCACCAAACACCAAGGTGAGTCCTAGACAAGAGTGTGAAAAGACACAGCACTCTTCGACAGTACCCATTTCTCCATCTTTGCTCTAACAAGCAGCTGTTTCTTGTAGGACAGAACTAGAACAGATGTAAACGGCCCTTGTACACACTGGGAAACGTGACCAACAACTGACCAAATAGGCCTGAATATAAATTTTTTTGGGGGGGGCTTATCTTATATCCCTCAAAACTTTTTGATACCTTATAGTAGGAAATATATGCATCTTAAAGCAGAAAAATTTTAAATTTCCCAAGAAACATGTTATTTTTTATCACTAAAAATCGCGAAGGGCAGAGATGTAACTACCTGAAACCCAAAGGGAGATAAGAACACAGCTATTTTAAGTAAAATAGCTATTTATTCAGCCTCTTTTTCATGCCAAAATGTTCTGTGCATATTCCACTATAATTAGCACACCTTCTGAAACAGGCAAAATTGTACATCATTATATTTCATATTACCTGATTATATAAAAGTGTAAAATGAAAATGACTTATCAATTTCTTTTAACATTCCTAATAACTCAGAGATATGAGGCACAAAATCTCAGTAACACATGACACAGCAGTAGTATGTAGTTCTCACCTAAGTTAACGTCATAATCTGTTATTAACATACAAAGACAACAAGCTTTTAAAACATTCTGTTTACTAAGATTCTGCCATAGCTTTATGTAACAAGATACAGCATACCAGGCCTGCCACTCAACTTGTTTGTGGTAAGTCTCAGCTTCAATATGAAGCTGTTAAAAACAAAAACCAAAAGTCCTGCTTTTTACATGCTAAATGTCCTGTAAATGTGCCATTTACACAGCAGTGAGCTGAAGACAGCAAGAGTAAGCTAAATGTCCTGTAAATGTGCCATTTACACAGCAGTGAGCTGAAGACAGCAAGAGTAAGGAGTTAAAGCTAAACATTGCAGCCAAATAAAATCTATACAAAACATAAGTAGCTATCACTGGCTACATAAAAACCCTCTGACTGGTTAAAACTGATATAAAACATGCACTTTAGAATTGTTAGCTATCAGTTCAGAAAGTACTAGTGTCTACCAAACAATTCTTCTCCAAAGCCAAGTGTAGGCAAAATTAATTCAAATGACGTAATACAACCTAACCCTAAAAAACATTCAGTTGTTATTACTGAAGTGGAGGTAAATTCAGAGCTTTGGGGGCGTTCTCATGCTGCAAAGGGCTGGATATCTCTGGTTCATACAAAGCAGCATACAACAGAGTCTACAGATGTCATTCACCTCAGTCAAGGGCAAGACTGACAGTGCCCAGCTCTGACCTCCCAGGAAACATGGCTACTGTGTCCACAGAAGTAGTGTGAAATCAAAGGCACGCTGTTCTGGTAGCTAAAGAGATAGCAAACCACCCCCTCTTCAAAAGCTCCTTCCCCAAGTACATCAAAATATACATGGGGAAAAATTAAAATACTTATTTACAGAGTAAGGATCTTGAAATTTTAATGTAATCCCTACTTTGAAAATTTTTACTAGAGTCTGCTCATTATTTCTGGTTACATCTTAAAGATGGATCCAGATTCGGTTTCTGATGATTTAGCCTACATACTTCTAGTAAAAAATATTAGCTTTATTCCAAATGTCTTAACCACTAGTATGACTGCAAAGTACTATCTCCCAGAGTCACCAGGAACTGGAAGAGGAAAAGGTGTTCAAGCAGCAGGCAACAATCATGGCCTTCACACAGCAGTATCCGAGTGGCTACTGACTAGTCCAGGACAAGTCTAAACACAAGGGAATTCATGCACATTACTCCGTATCGTATGTCATAATCTTCACAGCTGAGAGCTCCTTTGACATTGCACTCTGTAAGGGACCCTGGTCTTCCAGATGCTATGGTGAGTCTGAACTTGAACCAGCAGCCTTCTTTTTCTTCTTCTTGCTGTGCTTCTTATGCTTCCTTCTCTTCTTGGCTTTGTCCTGTGAAGACAATTTCACAGCAGGTGTTACTACACATTTGAAAACATGCCAGTTAAGTACACCAACACTTGTACACCTAAGCCACTTACTATATTCAATCATAGAAGCAAGCTAGCTAGTTAGGATGTTCTAGAAAAGTCTCAACAACCACAAGTATGGAGTCTACAAGTACTTGCTGAGCCTCTAAGACAGGTACATTAGCAGCTTCCAACAGAAACTTCTATAAGACTACTGAATCACACTATCAACTGCTCTATTTTATGTTATATACAACTTCCAAAGGAAAAGGAACGCTAATACAGGAAACTCACATACTGCAAGACATAACTGCTTTAGTGAAATGGCAGTATTTTGAGGATCCAAGTATTTAATATTTTTAAGTTGGAACATAAATTGTATGTTCAGACTGTAGCACTAATGTAGTTGCTAATACCAACTACTAATATAAAATACTGATACATACTTAAAAGTGTATTTTATTAAAAAAAATATGGTTTTCTTTCTTTTTTTTTTTGAAGACAGGATCTCATGTAGCCTAGGCTGGCCTTGAACCTTGAACTTCTGATACTAGGATTACAGGCACAGGCAGGCACCACCACATCCAGCCGAATGCCTAATTTTTTTACAGGGAAATCACTGCCTTGGAAAAGAAGTTAAATTCTTATTGGGTAAAAGGGTGCTGGAGCTTTGCTGACCTCTAACCCTTCTGAGTGCTTCTGCTATAGAAGTATAGGGATAAGTTTAAGATTTGTGAAGCTACTCAGGGAGAAAAAGTGGTACCCAGGCAAGGCAGGCAGAGCTCCCGCTCCTCTGCTACTATCACAGAAGAACCTTGCAGCCTGCCTACTTGGGGTGCAGCTGAAGACAGTGACAGATTTGTGCACAGCAAGCACTATCACCAAAGTACATCCAGGCTCCCCAGAGCTCTTTTTTTTAAAGCATGTACTTAAATGTAATTTTACAAAGAAGCCAAAAAAATCTTAAATTTGAGATCTATTTATTGTGCTGGGGGTGGAACAGCCTTTGTATATAAGGCAAGCACATTACCACTGAATTACACTCTCAGGCCCATGCGGAGGTTTTCTTCAGCTACTTACATATATAATACATATATATGTATATATGTATTATATATATGTATATATATTTCTATCTATCTTATATTCTTACTGCATTTTTAATGCCTAGTGGAGATGCGGGTTAACATGTACCAACAGAAAGAATAAAACAGTGCAGAAACACACACTAGACTTAGCCAGGTATTTTTCTAATTAATCAATTTTACAGTCTAAAAAATTCAACCAAATTACTTTTGCACTCAGAAAAAAAAATGTTTCTTATCACTGTGATCACAAAACATATGGACACCCAAGTTTCAGAGAAGGCTCTTGTATTAAGAGCCACAAAGTTCTAGGAAAAGGTTATCCTTTTCTACAAATAAATCGGAATTTCCAATTTCAAGACAGAGTTTCTCTGTGTAGTTCTGGAGCCTGTCCTAGTACTCACTGGCCTCAAACTCAGAGATCCACCTGCCTCTGCCTCCTGAGCGCTGGGATTAAAGGCATGTGCTACCACCACCCAACGTGGTTAAGAGCACCTCTTATTCCTGCAGAGGACCTGGATTCAGTTCCCAGCACCTATACAAGAACTCCATATCCTATGTCCTTCTGAACTCCACAGTACACACATATACTCAGGCAACCACATACACAAGCAAAAATAAAATATATAGAAAGTCAAATAAAAGTTAAAGTATATGTGTGTTTAACTATGTAAATCATACATATAATTTTCTAGCTGTATTTTTATTTATTTGCAAGAATATGTTATGGTACACATGGAGGTCAGAAGAAAACTGAGGTCCTAGAGATCAAACTCAGGTTATCAGCTAGCACCTTTACCCACTGAGCCATTTCAGCAGTGCTCCTTGAACCTCTATTTCTTCTCTTCCTTAATAGGGTCTCACTATGCAGCTCTAGCCAGCCCTGAACTCAGAGATCCACCTGATTCTGCCTCCCAAGTGCTGGGATTAAAGGTGTGCACCACTATGCACATTCTAAACTTCTATTACTAACAGTTAGATACTGGAAGGGGTCAGACAATGTTTGTTTCACTTTCCTAAGCCTACTGGATTTTCTCCTATCCTGTGATGGACACCCTCTTTCCAGTACTTCATCTGGTCCCAGCTGAGTTAGTATGACATTAAAGAGCAGCAGGCCTGCCGCTGTCTGTGAAAACGTAAGATACTTGCTGTTCTCTCGCGCTCTTCGCCACTTTTCTTCCTCTTTGCCTGCACCTACAAAGTTGAAACTTTTGTGAACACAAGACAAACATAATATGCCCCATCTTACAGTTACATTTTTTTATGCTCTTTGAAATGAAACTCGTAGCTAATATAAACTAGATACATTAATTAATTTTTATATCACTGTCCCCTAATAGAAAAAAATGAAAGTAAATACAAAGTGTGATTTGATGAAATTGTATTGGAATATATAAGCACTTGAGTGTGAGACTGGAAGATAAAACCTGCAGTTGGTACCTCAAGGGTGGCCTTCCGAGAGCTTTGCCACCAGTCATTTTCCAGAATGGTGGACAAAATTTAAACAAGCTGTTCTGAGAGTTGCCACCCAGTTGCAAGCAAACAGTTTATGTCTATTCCTTTATCTTCCTTAGATTGTTAGTGACTTTTTATGCGTTTGTATCATGTATTCAATATGTAGTTATCTAAAAAGTATACCACATCACTGAATAGTTGGGTAGTTTTTATTGCCTAGTACAGTTACATATTTATCCAGTATATAATAAGAAATGCTTAACAAAATATCTTACTTGTACTTGACATTTAGTACATGTGGCCTTTAACAACTTTGGATTTAATTTGAATTCGGTACACGGTGTTTTAAAAGGTCAAAGAGAAATACACATGATACGGCCATTGTTATTTACAAGGATTTTAACCGGCTGCTCTATATAGGGTGCAGTGTATGTGTAACTACTGTTTTGGCAGTACAGAATATTAATAGCGATCAAGCTGCAGCTAGGATTCAGGTGCTGGTCTGTGTTACGCTAGAATTCATGATATCTTCCCACAATTTGATCCCACTGTGGGAAGTTTCTTTTCCTTTACTCACCTCTTCATAATCGGATTCTGATGATGACTCAGAGGACAGCGCTCTATCATCATACAGCTTTCTTTTTTTGCTGAGTCCTTTAGTGTCCTATGAAAACACATGTATCCCGAATTACTGTCATGAAAACTTCATGCTTTTCTCAAACTGAAATTTATCTTTGTTATGTGTATGTATATCTGCATGTAGGCACATGTGTGCATGTATGACAGGGTAAATGCAGTCCTTTTATTCTCTCCTTCAACTTTGAAGGATCCAAGGATTCAACTCAATTGTCATCTGCACCAAGGTTGTCTTTATGCTGAGCCATCACATAAGCCCCAAATTTCATGTCTCTAAGCTACATGTAACAATTCTTCTAATTCCACAAATCACCCAGTTTTAAACTTAGAAATTTCTAAACATAGTGACATTAACAAAGACTTAAGTTTTTAATTCCACTAAAGCCAATAATTTCATTTAATAAAGTGAAGTAACTACACATCCATTTAGATCAGCAGTTCCCAACATACGGGTTGCACACCTTTTGGGGGTCAAATGTCCCTTTCACAGGTTTGCCTAAGGCCGTAAGAAAACAGATATTTATTTTATAATTTATAACAGTAGCAAAATTATAGTTATGATGTAGCAACAAAAATAATTTTATGGTGGGGTCACTACAACATGAGGACTGCACTAAGGTCGCAGCATCAGGAAGGCTGAGAACCACTGATAAGGACGTAGTATCTTCATTTCCTTAAATTAACATATATTAATTTAAAAAACCAAGATTTAGGGCCTTTGTATTTTAATCCTGCTGCTTCTACTCAGGATGGCATATGTAAAGAAAAACAGTTGGTAATTACCTGTTATGATTTAAAAGAATCTGAATAATAACTTTGGTATACCTGAGTATTATGTTTTGAAATATTTCATTTTTATCTATACGTGTGTGTGTATGCAAGAGTGTATGTCACATGTGTGTGCAGGTAACCAGGGAGGCTGAAAAAAAGGTTGTCAGATACCCTGGAGCTTATAAGCCACTCAATGTGGGTGTTGTGAACCAAACTCAGAACTCGGGTCCTATGGAAGATAAGCCAACATGCTTAACCACTGAGCCAACTCTCCAATTCCCCCATTTACATTTTAAAAAACATCTTAGTTCCGACAGCAAGATATCTCAGACTAAAAGACACCAGAAACTCATATAAAGGTAAAAGTGGAAAACCCATGGGCTGGAGAGATGGCTCAGAGGTTAAGAGCACCGGCTGCTCTTCCAGAGGACACAGGTTCAATTCCCAGCATCCACATGGCAGCTCACAACTGTCTGTAATTCTGGTTTCAGGGGATCTGATACCTCCATACCAATGCAAATAAAGTTAAATAAATTATTAAAAAAAAAAGTTCTAAAAAAAAGTGGAAAACCCAGTTCACAAAGCTGTTTTCTGATCTCCATACGCAAAGTACACACCATCATCATTTCACCATATCCTGTGTGCATATGCACACAAACTAAAAAATTTTCATAATGTACTTAGGGACACAAGTAGACATCTTAAGGAAAAATTATATAAACATCTAGTATGGCCAATTGTTCAGAAATGTAAACTGATAAACACTTTGGTGAGAAAATGCTTAGATAAACTACACATATCCACATTCTGGGAACCTAGAAATTACACTCCTAGATATACATTAGAAAATTAAGAATAACTTATAGGAGAAAAACTGTTAAGAAATGCTCACTGTATAGAGCCAGAGAGAAGGCTCAGTGATTAAGTGAACTTGCTGGAAATACAGAAGACCCTGGATCAGTTTCCAGCACCTACACAGTGGCTTACAACTTCTTGTACTCCAGTTCTGGAGTACCTGATGCCCTCTTCTGGCCACCTTGGGCACTAGGCATGTACACTTAAACACATAAAAACAAATCTTCAAAATAAAGAATATGCATTGCAGCAGTCTGTATTGATGAAAACTGTAAACAACTAGTGGCTGCAGAGATGGCTCCATGGTTAAAAGCACTCCTCCTTATTCAGAGGACTCAGATCCAAGTGCCAGCACCTACAACCATCCTATGAACTCTGGTTCACGGAGATCCTATGTGCTTTGCTGACCTCTACACAAACACACCTGCATGCATGTGGTGCACAGAAACTCATGCAGACAGACAGTATACTAATAATAAATAAATCTACAGAATAAATGGAATATTGGAAGCAAAAGAAATAAACTCGAAAACATCAAGAATAAATGGCAACAGTACTGCTGAATAAAAAGCTGGTTTCAGAACATGACATAATCCTGAAAACCACACAACACTGTATGTTACTATGAGTAAATACATACGATGTGCTAAATGGGGATGAGAAGCATGTCCGTTAATTCCAGGGCCATTGCCTCTGAAGGAGTGGTGATTTTTAAAACAGTAAGACAAGATCAGAAGCAAGTGCAGACATTTAATTTTAGCCACGAGGGTGGCTATTCAGAGTGTATGTATGAGATTCTCTAGGTAATACTTTGAAGTATTTCAAAATCACAACAAAACTGCTTGAGTTTTTCACTTTGTATTACCAAGTTTTAGTTTCATACATACTTTTTTGAAATATGAAAGCAATCATTATTATTATTATTATTATTATTGGTTTTTTTTTTTTTTGAGGGAGAGTTTCTCTGTATTGCTTTGGAGCCTATCCTGGAACTTGCTCTGTAGCCCAGGCTGGCCTCAAACTCAGAGATTCTCCTGTCTCTGCCTTCCGAGTGCTGGGATTAAAGTCGTGTACCACCAATGCCCAGCTACAACCTTTAATGATTCTGAACATCAGGCATTAATCCCGAATCAAGTGACATCCTTTGGGCAACTATTGGAATAATCATATGGGTTTCTCCTCCTATCAGTTAATATGTACCAATTAGTATTAATAATAGAGAAATTATAGTGGGGACCATGTGGCTGCAGCTCTAGCTGCTCAGGAAGATCCCAGGAGTCTGAGGCTAGCTTGGGCAACACAATGAGCCCATAGCTCATAAATTCATATTAAAAAAAAAAACCACTGCATTAAATGAAACCCTTTGATATGGTACACCTCATGGTTAATTTCTTTGTCATTTAAGTGTTATGTAACATAGTTACCTTTTCTTTCTCAGTCATATCCTTTGACTTCTTTTTCTTTTTTGAACTGTCCTGCACAGAGAAAGAGACACAGTACAAGTGTAGCCCTCCCGCAAAACGATTTGATTCATGACTAGCAACTTTCCTTCAATATCAGAATTTATTCTGAAAATAAAAGCTCAATCTATCTTACATGTATATCTGCATGTAAGACAATAGACCACTTCTGCTATCTAGCTGAATAAAGCCTGTATACTCCTAAACAGTCTGCAATACTCAAGTGGCTTATTTGAAAACAGGGCTTTAAGCCACTGTCTTTGCCTGTAATGGCCACCTGCACTGGTTCTATAATTCACATGGGTTTCTGCAATCCACCAATCTAGTTTGCCTACTGTTCCTGTCAGGAATTCTGCCTTCATTCCCTTCTCTATTAACCTCTGAGTAGTTAACAAACAAGCCAGGATGGCTGCTGAAAGGGTTTTAAAAGCAATGCTTTTGCTCTCAGCAATTCACTGCTGCGGGTCTCACCTTGCTATCCGAGTCAGAGTCTGACACTGAGCTTTCAGGAGACTTACGACAACGACTCTTCTTTTTCTTCCTCTTTTTTGTTTGTTTTTTATCCTACACAAAACATTTAGAAACATTTGCTTTCTGTTTCAGAATACAATTTATCCATTTAACTAATACCATAAATAATAACCAGAACTTAATGAAAGGACCAGCTTATAAACATATTTTCCAATGATATTTATAATGTAACAATGCAACATACCATTTTTCTATTTGAAGAGTCAAATGATCTGAATTATGTTTGTAATTCTAATCAATGAGTGGGTCAAAAGCATTTTACATTTTTCAAAAAACTTATTTTAAATGAACAAAGAAAACATAAAAACAAATAGATACCAGTATTTAAACATCTCATCACTTCATTTATTCACATATTTGCACTTTGAGTTAGGAATAATTAATTAAATCACAAAGCTAAGATGTCTAGCAGTAATTTCACAACATTCACATGGTTACCAATTATTTCATGAACCACCAGAGCCAATCTTACCTCATCTTCAGAATCTGAAGAACTGCTGGAAGAATCAGAGCTCGATGAAGAAGAAGATGAATACTTGACCAAACACAAAACAATTAAAGCTTGTGAGATTCGGGAATTAGTTTCTTTGATTAAGTCTCTCAAGAACTTAGTGAAATCAATCTAGTGTCTAGGAAACAAGAGGCCATATCCATAAGGATCAGAAACTAAACGTCTAGCCATCTCTGTCCTCCAGCTCAACAAAGTGACAACATTGCAGTAATGGTCAACAACTGTCCTCTTTAACAGCAACAGAGAAATCACTAGGTTATGAGGGATGACCTCTACTTCGTGTCACTAAGGGAACATCACCCACCACAGCCCAGCCCAGGACTTCTAGTCGGCTTAACTCATCTATAGTTTAAATTACCTTTAGCACACTGGCTTAAAAAAAAAATAATCATTCTTACTTTTTTTTTATATAGCTCTTAATTCTAACATTTAGAAAAATAGAAAACTTTTGCTCACCCTACCAGATTTCTTCTTTTCTTTTTTCTTTCTCTAAACAGAAACAGACACAAGCTTGAATAAGTGGACGAGACTTTCAAATATATTTATTAATACATCGTCTTTATGGCACCAATGATAAGAATGGCAATAAACAAAAAGGGGCGTTACCTGTCTTTTTTTGGATGAGCTCTCATTTCCACTTAATAACTTCTCTCTATGTTTTTCTAGTTCTTTTTTCCAATTCTGCAAAATAGTTAAGATACCATTAGAAGTTACTGCTACCTTTCCTAGTTTATTATTATTATTATTATTTTTAATTACCTATCTCAGCTTCCTTTAAAAAAAAAGGAGGGGGGATTTATTTCTTTTCATTTGTGTATATGTCTGTGTAAGATAAGTTTTTTCAAGACAGTTTCTCTGTGTATCCCTGGCTGTCCTGGAACTTGCCATGTACACCAGGTTATCCTTGAATTCAGAAATCCATCTGCCTTTCTTGAACTCAGCGCTCTACCTGCCTCTACCTTCCGAGTGCTGGGATTAAATGCATGTGCCACCATACCTGGGTTATTTTTTTTTTTTTTTTAAATAAAACAATCATGTATTGTCAGGCAGTGGTGAACACACTTTTAATCCCAGCACTCCAGACCAGAGGCAGATGGATCTCCGTGAGTTTGAGGCCAGCCTGGTCTACAGAGCTAGTTCCAGGACAGTCAAGACTGTTTCACAGAAAAACCTGCCAAAAAAGAAGTATGATTATTGTGGGCAGGTGTGTGGGGGTGCGCGTGTACTATGGAGTATGTGTGCAGGTCAGAAAACAACTCTGTGGAGTTGGTTCTGTCCTTCCATGTTTATGTGTGTTCTGAGGATCAAATTTACATCATCAGGCTTTGGAGGCAAGTACCTGTACTAAGTCCTTCTCTTATTAGTATAGAAAGTACTCATTTACTCACAAACCTGCCTTTCAAATATAACAGTAATATTCATAAAATATAGAATCTCCTTAGTCCCTAAAGTGCAATGCTCAAATTCTTGGTTTATTAAATTGAAACAATTAAGAGATTTCATTTTTATTGTAAGGAAAAGATTTATCTATGTCTTTAAAAGGTGCTATTTACAAACCTCATTCATTTTTTCTTCAAATTCAGCCAAAGCTTTGGAACCCTTCTTTTTCTTTTCTAGTTGCTCCTTTACCTCCTCCCTTAAAGACAGAATGACAAACACAATTTCAAGTATTTCAATTTAAGTGGATGACACAAACAAGACAAAATTTTAACATTCTAAGAAGCCCTTTCATATTTATAGTTCAAATTTTTGTTCACAACGATGTAAACAATCATAATAAAGCCCATTGAGTGATATTTCCCCTTTTCTAAACCCAGATTGTTTAAATATTATTTTGATTGAACCTCACAACCCCCCAATAAGTAATAGGTACTTATATCCTTACTCAAGGTTACACTCTGTCAGTAAGCCCTCATGACATAAAATATTCAACATGCATGTTTAAGGCTTGATACAGCCTACCTTCTTATAGTACTGGCCTAAGGTGGGCATCTTGGAGCTGGATTTTGGAGGTTGTACAGTTTCCTCACTAAGAGTAGCTTATTCCACCTAACTCTTGTATGTGGGAAGACACAGTACAGTTCAGACCGAGAATCTTCATTTCCAGAATTTGGAATTTGACAGCAGAGGCTGACTAATTAGCAATAAAAATCCTGGGCACCAAACACCTCATGAACCTTCTGGGCTGGCAACATCTCACATGCTGTCATAATTCTTTGCTGGAGCAATTAATGTGCTTATACGATTCTGTTAGCAAGACCTTTGGAAGCCCATGCCTGACTTTTCACAGTTCCCCTTCCCAACAGTACCCAACATCCTTTTGTTGCATAAAGCTTGTTAGAAGTGGGATTATCTACCAAGACTCCTGTGAGTGCTCTTATGAATTAACCAACCTATGGGTTGTTTTAAAGGCTTCTAACTCATAGGCAAAATGTTTTCTTGAGCATTTCTCCTTTAAATTCCATCCCCTCTTATCATGTTAAAGGTGAAGTAACAATTTATTTTGGGGAACTTTTCTGGATGCTGCAGTGGTTAAAAACAATACTTAAGCACACTGGAGGAGGTGGGCAGTGAGCTGAAATGATTCCCTATAACACATAGTAAGCATCAACTACAGTTGCTTGTATCTAAGGGTACCCTGCAGGACTGTAGTAGTAACAAAAAGGATGAAATACTAAATAATAGTGCTTGAAACTGTGACCATGAATTTACAAAAGATGAGAGCTACTCCTCCAGTTTCTCTGCGTTGCCTGAATCAGCTGATAAACTTGGAACAGCACCACACAGTACATTCCTGTTACTCCTCCCTAACCTCTAAGGGACTCTCAATGAAGGACACCATCATTCACCACACTGCTGATTTTAAACAGTACAGAACTCTGCAACGTTAAGCGAAACATTTTAGAGGCTACAGACGAGTGATAGGAGAAGGCCATACCAGGTTCTCAAATGTCTCTTTTGTTTATGAATATGAAATCATATATTCAAAACAGAGCTCATTACTTTAAAAAAATCACTCATCCTGGATGTCCATATGTACAAGAACAAAATTAGATCCACATATATAACCCTGAACAAAAATCAACTCTAGGTGGATCAAAGACCTCAATGTGAAAGCAGAAAGGCTAAAACCACTAGAAGAAAACATAGGCCTTGCCTTACAAGATATATGGTCAGGAAAGGGCTTTCTGGACAGGACTCTATTTGCCTAGGAATTAAGGCCAACACCTGACAAACACCTCATTAAACTAAAATATTTCTGTATAGCAGAGGAAACAAATGAGTGAAGAGGAATCTCACAGAAAATATTTGCCAGCTGAATTTTTCATAGAACTAATTTCCAGATATACAAAGACATTAAAAAAAAAAAAAAAAAAAAAAAAAAAAAAAAAAGAACCAAGTAAACACACAACACACAGGCTACCAGACTGTGAACAAGGGGTCAGAGATTCCCAAAACAATATAGGCTGCTGCCACTACCTTGGTTGTTTCTCAGGACTTGAAGCTAAGACCCCTCTGCTGCAGACTGACCACACATTTTGGACAAAGGACTTGGAGGAATCCAGCTGTAATTGACCTGGAGCCTCCTTTCTGAGTTCCTAAAGGTGCTATCCATGTTGCCAAAAGGAATTCATGGCTAACAGTGCAAATTTAGCCAACTACTTGTGTGTTCAGTAAGGTCAGACCCTAGAGGAGAACCTACGACTGCCAATTTCCTAATCCAATAAAGTTTCTAACTGCATTCTAAATCCTTATCCTTATATCCAGATAAGGGCAGGTCTCACCCCTCAACAGAGAATATTCTTTCTGCAACAGATGGAGATGATCACAAAAACCCACAACTGGTCAGAATGCAGGAGATAAGTGATCATGGGTTCCACCCCAAATTGGTACATTTACAATGCAACCTCTACATGTAAGGCTTAGGGAAAATTATAGGAGAGGGGGGCAGAAAGATTTTAAGAGCCAGAGGACCAAGACGTTCACTGACAGACAGTATCTTTTAGACACGGCAGGGAAAATACACCCATGAAATTACAACAATAAGGCTGCCTAAATAAGATCTGGTAATGTCAACACCAGATGACAAGCCAATTGGAAGGAGATGTTACAGGAATGCTGAGGGGGTGGGGATAGGGGAGAGAAAATGAGTATCAGTTTTCTTCAGGGATGAACTCCCTGATAGGTCATCCAGTTCCAAGTGGCCAGCCTTAGACACATGTACATATGAGCAAGTCGATGAATTCAATTCAGCAAGTAACAATATTAAAGAAGTCATGGATTTAAGAAAGAACAGGAATGGAAACAGGAAGAGTGGGAGGGGAAAGAGGGAGTTGAAATGATATAAATACAATACTCATTTACAAACTCCTCAAAAATAAGTGAAAATTACTTGTTATCTGGCAACTGCTCAACAATCACTAAAGGCTTTAGTAAACTTAAGAACAGGTAAACCGAGGAATACCAGGTAGGCCTTGGTCGGTTCAGATAGTCCTGGATTGTTGGCCCTGAAGACTGGATTGGACCTCTCGATCGAGCCATCGCTATTGGATTCATGTAGGCCTTGAGAAAAGAACAACAATTAATTCCATTAAAATAACCATTAAAAAAAAAGTCATGTATATCTAGCAGCATTAGTATAAATGAATACTATACACAACTAAGCATGAACAAGCTGATTAATCAACTTATTACAAAAATCAGTTTAATCTTCTACATAGCCTTGAATTTTGTGAGATAAGTAGTCACTCCATGCAAAGACATGCTGCTATTGCTTCAGCAGAGATTTGAAGAACAATGATGCTTCTCACCTACTGAAGCCTTTAGGGTAACTTTTCCTGAAATCTGATAGCCCAGTGAAGGTGATCATACTGTGCTACTTGCAAATTACGAAACCCACTTCAAAGAAACAAATATGATCTAACTCTGACTTACTGCTAAATCTCCTGGTCGATGGTGAATTTACCCCCAAGTTAACATAAAAAATTAAGTACAATCACTGGGCAATGGTGGCACACGCCTTTAATCCCAGCACTCAGAGGCAGAGGCAGGCCAATCTCGGTGAGTTTACAGAGTGAGTTCCAGAATAGCCAAGGCTACACAGAGAAACTCTTTCTTGCAAAACCAAAGCCAAAAAAAAAAAAAAAAAAAAAAAAAAAAAGAAGTTACACAATTACCAACATAAAATGGCGGTAGTCATTGTGACACATACCTGCAATTCCATCAATTAGGAGCTAGAGGCAGGAAGGTCAGAACACTATCTCAGACCAAGAACAAGCCCAAAATAAACTTTAAAATTTATTTTTACGGGTATTTTGCCTGCATGTCTATCTGTGCATTGTGTATATGCAGTATCTGTGGAGGTCAGTAAAGTGAATCAGGTTCTTGGAAACAAAATTACAGATGGCTGTGAGTTACCATGTGGGTGCCGGGACTCAAACCCAGGCCCTCTAGAGGAGCAGCCAGCACTCTTAACCACCAAGCCATTTCTCCAGTCTACCAAAATAATTAAAAATGTGCAAGAAATAAATGTGCCACAAATAATGAAAAGACAATTTGCAGAATGGGAAACCATCTACAAACCATATACTTAATAAGAGAGTAGTGCCCAGGATCTAAAAAAGACAACAAAACACCTGGTTATCTAATTTAAAACTGAACAAAGGGATTAAAAATACGTTTCTCCAAAGACACACTGTCAATGGCCAATTATTACTAGGAAGACTATCAAAGAACCAGAAAATTACAAGGATTGTTACAAATGGGAAGAAACTGGGACCTTTGTACACTGGTGGTGGAAGTATAAAATGGAATACATGTTGTAGAAAATAACTTAGCTGTTCTTCAAAAAGTTACTCATAGAATCACCATATGAACCTCCACTTCCATCTGGGTACTACAGATACCCAAACAAATGCAAAGCAGACTCTAGTAGAACACCAGTGTTCACAGTAGCAGTCAATATTCACAATAGTCAAAGGGCCGAACAAAACAATTATCCATCCATGGATGACTAGATAAACAAAACACACACTTCATTCAATTTTCAAAAAATCAAATTTAATACTGTATCCCATGGGTCTTGAAAATAGCTATGCTAAGTGAGGTAAGAGAGTGTGTCACAGTTCCTGGGAGGTAACTAAGCAAACCCGTGAAGACAGAAGGACAGAATGGAGCTTATCAGGCGAGAGAAACATGAGTTTCATGTGCACAGTTTAAATGGGATCATGAGAGTTCTGAAGTGGACAGATGGTTTTATAGCACTGCAAATGCAGCTAACACTGGACTACACTGTAAAACGGCTAAGGTAGCTGGACATGGTGGGGAACCCCTTTAATCCAAGCACTCAGGAAGAAGAGGCAAGGGGATCTCTGTGAGTTCAAGGCCAGCTTGATCTATAATAGTTAAGTCCAAGGGCAGCCAAGACAACACAGTGAGACCTTGTCTCAAAAGAAAAAAAAGATGGTAAATTTTGTGACACCTGAAACAATCTATCAGTCTCCACTGTTTTGCTTTCACACACCAAAATGCTCAACAGAAGCAGTTGGATGAGATATTTTAGAGATATGTTTATATAAAAACAAAATGTGCTGAGGATGGAGAAATTACTCAGATCTGATCCTGACCCTCCTGTCTCCACTTCCGGGTACTGTGATTACAGGTATGCACCATGTCTGATTTTACATGGTTCTGGGGATCACACTCAGGCTTTGTGCAAGCTAGGCAAGCAAGCACCATCAGAGCTACAGATATATACACACATATATTCAATAAAAATGATTCTGTATTTTACAGTTACAACAGTAGAAGCACACATTTCAGAGACAACCCCCCCATCCCTCCCCCACACACCAAAAAAAACCCTTGAGACAAAACAAAGCAGGTTTCTTTCTTTAGTGATTGTTTACTAACACTTGCTACAGATATAAAATCTACTCTGTTTTGAGACAGGATCTCCCTAGGTAGTTGTAGTCTATCCTGAACTCTCAACATCCTTGCCTCAGTCTGTGATTATAACCATGCACCACCATGCCTGGTCCAGTCCCAACCTCCTGAGCCTCATATATCCAGTTTTCCTAGTTTAATTCAAGTTGATAAATGTGTACTCTATTTAAATGATAGGAACTTGGGTTAAAGGTAATTAAATTACTCTTAGGTTGATTTTAAAGCCTTTCTCTTACTTCTTAACACTAAAAGAAACAAAGAAAGCACAGTATTTGCTGTACTTTATCAAAACCTGTAAAAATGACCAACATTTCCATCTTACAATACAAAACCGCCATTAAACAGCACATGCTGAGAACTATTTTCACTAAGATGACATTGGAATGATCCACAAATCTGACGTAAGTTTCTTACAAGCAAGAATGGTACAACTTCCCCATGTTGGGGATATTTAGAGAATCAAGGCAAGGTATGGGCATCAAATACAACAATGCAAACTACAGAGGTATTCTCTCCCCCTTTCTCTCTGGGCATCAAATACAATGCAAACTACAGAGGTTCTCTCTCTCTCTCTCTCTCTCTCTCTCTCTCTCTCTCTCTCTCTCTCTCTCTCTCTCTCTCTCTGTGTGTGTGTGTGTGTGTGTGTGTGTGTAAAACCATAAGCTAACACAAGGTGTCTCCCTCAATAGCTCTTTTTTTGAGATTAGATCTCTCACTGAACCTGGAACTCACAAATTTACCTACATTGGTTGGCTAGCAAGTCCCAGAGAGATTCTCCTGTCTCTGCCCACTTGTACTGAGATTAAAGAAGCACACCACCATGCTTGGCTCTTTACATGGGTTCTGGGGATTAAACTTGGGTCCTTAGGCTTGCACGAGTCATCAACCTACCAGAACATATATTGTTCTTATATAAATGTACACTCACCAATAACAGAAGAATTGTTAATTCACTGATAGTGCTGCCAATTCACAACACACAAACTAAGTTCAATACTTGTAAAGCAGTATGATTCATATATATCATGGCATAATTATTTTTTAACTTCTGTGTATGTACCTGTTTGTGCATTGTGTGCAGACGTTTTGAAGGCCAGTAAAGGGATGATCCTTGGAACCAGAGTTGCAAGTGTTTGTGAGCTACAGGTACTAGGAATGTTTGCAAACCCAAGTTCTCTGCAAGGTTACTAAATACTTTTAACTGCAGTTATTTTAGTAGTCCCTAATGGTAAAACATTTTAAGTTTAAAATGATAAAAATTATTTCTAAAGAGTGCAGCTATATAAAAGGACCATCCCAACCAAATTAAAACAGCAAAAACTGAAAACACCTAGGCCATCATCAAATCAGTATCCATGAAATATATTGAAAGTATGTCCCCTAAATGAGATCCTAAAAAAAAGTAGATGTGTAGTTTGTGATTTGAAAAGATGTCCAGCAGTTGCCAAAAAAAAAAGGAAAAAGGAATCATTTAAATGAATGCATGTGCACCAAATGAGATGACATCCCCTCAACTATTTTATTTTTGTAAATATTTACTTTCCTTATTTTTTGATTGTTCGTTTGTTCTGTGTGCCTGTGTAGATCTCTGGGAGCTGGAGCTGGTTGTGAACCAGGTAGTGTGGGTGCTGGGAACCAAATTCTGGTCCTCTTTAAGAGTAGTATGTGCTTTAAACTGTTGAGCTATTTCTCCAGCAGCCCACCCTCTTCACCATTTTATATGCTTAATGGCCAAGTGCTTAAGATCACTGACTGCTCTTACAGAGAACCTGGGTTCAATACCCAGAACCCACATGGCAGCTCATAACTCTGTAACTCCAAGATTTCACACCCTCAAACAGACATACATGCAGGAAAAACACCAATGCATATAAGATAAAAATAAATTATTGAAAAGATTAATCCACTACCCTGATAAAAGAAATAATGAAGGGCCGGGGCAATGTTTAGCAGATAAGGGTATTTGCTGTTCTTGCAGAGGACCTGGGTTCAGTTCCCAAAACTGAACTGTCTGTCCTCAACTGTCTGTCCTCAACTGTCTGTAATGCCCACTCCAGGGAATCCTACACCCGTCTTTGGTGTCTGGTGCCTGGTGCCCAGGGCACCAGGGCTTAAAATGTTCTCATCGGGAGAACAATCCTGGGTCTTCTGTAAGAACAGCCAGCGCTCTTAACTGAGACATCAACTCTCACCTGACTTGACCGTCTTACATACTGTCTGTCATCTTGGCTGGGGAGATGGCTCAGGGGGGTGAAGGCATGAGCCTTCAAGCCTGAAGGCTCAAGTTTGACCCCTGGGACTTACTGCTTACTCTGGAAAGTTGTCTCCTGGCACACATGCACCCACACATATACACATATGACAAATTACAAAAATAAAAACCTTGACTTTGTAAGTCACTCATTCATATTATACATGACTATAACTGTCTGCTTGAGTTCAAGTAAAGGGAAATGATGTGCTATTGTAATTCAGAATAGCAAGCTAAGCTCAAGGGGATACACATGTATGCAGGTACCAAAAGAACAAAGTAACACAAGTGCTAAAGGATGAGCAGAATCTGATTTGTGGCTTTGACTACGTTTACCTAGAGGATGCATCTATTTACTTTAGAGGGCACAGGTTATCTCTCTCTCTCTGTCTCTTTCTCTGTCTCTCTCTCTCTCTCTCTCTCTCTCTCACACACACACACACACACACACACACACACGATCGCTATCCCTTCTATTCAACTTCCCCGCTAATCCAAAGCCTCTCTAAGAAATGACCCACAGTCAAAGGGAGAATTTCTAAAGGTCTCAAGTTGGATTCTTAGTAGTTTCAAAATGAAGTCCTGGCAAAACTTCGGAGCCAGTAAAGAAACCAGAGACTGTGAACTGAAATGACAGGAGCCACTAAAGCGACTTTCAAGGCAGTGATAATGCATCATCATGCTGGATGCATGCCATTATCAATCTGTGCAAGGACATAAGATGCTGAAATATAAACTGAATTCCACTGAACAAATGTACCTTTATGGTGTGTGTGTGTGGGGGGGTGTTGGTAATGGAGAAGGTGTATGTGTGTGTGTGTATGTAGGTAAACATAGGGTAGGGAAGCTGTGGTTTAAAAGTGCTGTTAAAAAGTGAGCATTTACAGAAAAAAAAAAAAAAAAAAAACCTCAGAGTATGAGGTACTGAACCAAGTGTCAAAGGATACGAGTTCTGGTGGCAGTTAAAATCAGCCGCAACCTGTCTTCTACGAATTAGGGGCTCCGATCTACACCTCCCACCTCCTGAATTAATGTTTTCAGTCTTATAGTCTTCGAAGTACAAACAAAATGCTAACAGAACATTCTGTGCTATGACAACAAAACAGTACAAAGTTGTCAAAACGCGCCAGTAAACGAAGCTAATTTCATGTTTCACAAATGCCTTAGGGATACATCAATGAAAAGTTTCCAGTAAACTGGAACATTTTGGATTTCTGCAAGAAATTAATGTGTGTAAGCAATCCTATAGTCTTTAAAATCACGATAGCATCATACACACAAAACACCAAAACAAAACTGAAAAAAAAATCTCCTGAAAGCAAGCGATTTCGAAGTCTGAGAGGGCAGTAAAAAAGCTCCAGGACGTCGAACTCAGGATGCCCATGCACAGGGCCATTTCACCTCCATTCTAAGGTCCAGACAACGCGTGGCCCTCCTCTTGAAGCCAGGAGGAAAGAACGTTCCCGAACAGCGTGGGCCAGGTTCTCGAGGTTCCACTACGGAACAAGGAACCAAAACGGACGTTTTGAAGACGGGGACCACCACCACTTCCCAGGCAGCGGCCTTTGTGGTCGAGCAGTGACTGACGAGGCCCCCATTCGCACGGGTACAAACTCGGGTTCGGAGAAGTCCCGAACTTCCGCGGGCACAGCGGCCCGGAGCACCCCGAAGCCCTCATCCCCGCGGCCCCCGGCCCCGCCGTGCGGCAGCTGGGCGTCGCCTCGCCGCCCCGCGCTCGCGGCCCTCGCCGCTGTGGAGCCAGCGGTCCCGGGGCCCTCAGGCCGGCCGACTGAGGCCGAGGAAGGCGCACGCGCACCGCGAGGCGCGGGGTCTCGGGGCCCGGGGATGCGCCGCGGCCGCCGGGCCCGCCGCGACGGCTTCCGCCCGCTCCCCGCGGCACCCCTCGCTTTTCCCCGCCGAGTACTCACCACGCGATTGTCTCGTTTCCCCATGGCGACCGGCTGAAGGCGCGGGAAGCCGCGGACGCCACAGGCCCGACCAGAAGCCGAAGCGGGCCCGCCGCAAGTCCTCCCACCACCTCTACGCCCCGCCCAGAGAGCGGCGCCCAGGCAACGTCGGGCCCGCGCACGCCACAGCGCCCCCTGGAGGGGCGGAGGACAGACCGGCGCCGGCGCCCGCCTGCGGCTCCCGGGAGCTGCAGCTAGCAGGCTGCACGGTTCCTGTGACCGCTCTGGGAGGGAGGGTTGCTCTGGGAAGGAGGACCGCTCTGCACCCTGCCTCTCCAAGGCACTTCACTCCATTTGGTCTTGTCTTTCTTCCATCTTTTATGCGCCCGAGATACGCATTCTAGGGGGAAACTCAGATTGCTACAACTCTTACTGTGCCTGCGCTGGTACAGCTGTTGGAAATAAAGTGAGGACCAACATGCAAACTGGTCCTACAGAGTCCTTCACCTGGTGGCAGAGGAAGTGCTGTTAGAGAGTTAGTCAAGGTACTTGTACAGCTAAACGTCATTCGTTCATCATCCGTGCATTCATTTTTTAAACTCATCTAGTTTGCAAAATTTTCATTAAGAACACTTGCTGCTTGCAAAGAACGTCGGTTTGGTTCCAAATATCCACAAGGTGATTAACCATCTGTAACTCCATGACCCCTTCCGACCTCTATGGGCACCAGGCATACGTGGTGCTTATACATAATGCAGGCAGTCAAACTATTCATACATGTAAAATAAATATCTAACAAAAATTAAGTTATAAAACTTTAAAAAGTGAGGCTGGGTCAAGACAAAGGCTAAGACATAATCCCTACCTTTAAGGAGTGTGTTTATAAGTTTGTGTTTATACGTTCCTAGGATGAGAAAAACACACACAGATAAACCTTATTGCTTGGCTATGGCATTATCTGGATTGTCCCAAAACTTCAGGAGAAGTGTCCTGCACTTTAGAAAAATTATACACCATAATCATTGATTAGTCACAGGCTTGGAAATAGTGGTTCATAGGTTCATGTCAACATGAGAACATTAGGAAGTAATTTAAAATCGATCAGAATCCTTTCAGGACTTTTGGGAAATGGCAATGTGGAGCTTTCATTACATTGAAGAGAATCTTTCAGCCCTCCCCACCACACACACACAACCCAGGCCACATGTATACAGTCCTAGCATTTCAGAGGTTAGGGGTGGGTGGGTAGAAATCATGAGTTTAAGGATATCTTGAGCAACAAGGAAAATACAAGTCTGGCCTTGGAAACTTAGTGAGACATTGTATAAAATTAAAGTTAAAAAAATAGGAGGGGTGCTGCTCTGTCTGTCAGTGGCAGTGGTAGGTCACTTACCTAGCACCTGTGAGGCCCTGCATCCTGTCCCAGTTCCTCCAGGCAAGCCATCTTTTCCCCTCCCGGAGAGTCTTTCCTTTCTCACCCTTTACTGTTCTAGTCTCCACATTCTTTCTCAAAATGTTCCCAGACTCTGTCAAATGCAGCCACTTCAACCAACACTGATTGTTCTCAGGGCACAGCCTTCCTGCCCACTGTGGATCTGGCCTGAAGGTTTTTATGTCTGTTCCTCTTAGCCCTTATCCCCAACTTAAGCTGAGGATAGACCACTTGCGAGGCTCTGGCACTTAGCAGACTGAATGACTTGAGAAGAGAGGGAGTCTCCCCTTCGGCTCCTTCTTGCTTTTCACGTCTCCGTCTTTGGCTTGTTTACAGAGTGTGGAGATATGTATGCATATATGTATGTGTGTTATATAATCCAACAGGAAAATTTGTGTTTCCTTTAGCTATCTTTGGCTGACAAGTGACCCAGACCTAGAGCAGGTAACTCAGAGGAGGACAGGTAAACAGGAAAACTATCCAGAACCCAGTGGGAACAATTAAAAAGCTTTTGGGGGGCTGGTGGAAGAGGACTTCGTAAAATCTGGATCAATCCAAGTCTCCCCAGAACTCCGTGGGAAGACCGAAGAGATGTCTTCTACATCGCCCACACATGTGATCTGCTAAGAAACACACTTTCCTTCCAGCAGCGAGTTACATGCTGTCCCAAATGCTTAAGGCATAGCCAAGAGATTGCATTTCATCTTTGAGTTGAGAAAAAAATTGGGGGCAGGGGAAGCCAAGTCATTTACTCCATGCCTCACAACGACAAAGCAGAGCTGCTGAGCATTGGGGCACCAGGGTGTCAAAGATGAAAATGGGTGCTTTCCTTATAACCTTACACTGTCATCGGCAGGGCAAGGGAGGATGGAAAGATTTCATTTCAGGTAGACTGTGACCCTGGGCAGAGTTCCTACAGAAGAGCTGACTAGGAAGAAAGAACTCACTGGATGAAAGGAAACAGACACAGCCAAGTGTGACAACATGGGCTATTCGTTGCCTGGGACTGGAGGCAGAGGACCTTGACTATTAAGGGGAGAATCTTATTTTACTGTACAGGCAGGGTTTTAATGGAAGTAGATGAATAACTTCAAAAGGGCAAAGCTGTAGATGACAGTATTAATTATATTAATACCCCTGTTAGGTACAGATTTTCCAAGTGAATAGTATTCACTGATTATAACCTGGGTTGTCTTCTAAATGTAATAATAGATTAGTTGACTTTCCTACACTCTGCATTATTTTTGTATGGATGATTGAGATTTTGAATGGAAAGAGATGTAGATAATCTATAATCTCAAATGTCTGTTGTTTGGGTGTCCCTATCCTTAGACTGGAGATGCTAACAGCAATCACATTAACCCAGGCAGCTCTTCTGCTGGGAGACAGCAAGTTTGGTAATTATAACAAAGGAAATGGCTAAGGTATGTCACTCTCATGCCATGACACACCGTGCAGGGATTTTAAAAGTGAAGTAAGAGTTATGTGTGTTGATCTGGGGAAATGGCCACTATATATTATTGGAGGACAATGAACTATGAAACAGTGTAGACCACGACATCAAGTAGTTAAAAAAAAAAAAAAAAAAGGAATGCTGGGGGGTGGGGTCAGTGGAGAAAGAGCTGGCTGTGCAAGGATGAGGACTGGAGTTCAGATCCTCGGCACATACTCAAATGTTGCATAGCAACAGTGGTCCATCAGTAAGTCCAAAGCTCTGGGTATGGAAATAGGTTCTCCAAAGCAGGAAGGCTAGCTAGACTAGATGAATTGGTGAGGTTTAGTCTCCATCCATCAAGAGACCCTGCCTCACATGTATCTACCCATAAATGTGCAACCACATACATGTGAACACATACATGAACATCACACCCACATACAGACACACACACATCAATAAAAAGAGAATATATTGGTTCATGGGCTGTCTAGTTTTATGTAACTTGACATCAGAGAAGAAGGAGCCTCAATTAAGAAAATGCCTCCATGTTGGGCAGCCTGGTCTACAAAGTGAGTTCCAGGAGAGGCTCCAAAGCTACACAGAGAAACTCTGTCTTGAAAAAACAAACCAAAACAAAACAAACAAGCACAAAAAGGAAGGAAGAGAGAAAGGAAGGAAGAAAGAAGAAAGGAAGGAAGGAAGGAAGGAAGGAAGAAAGAAAGAAAGAAAGAAAGAAAGAAAGAAAGAAAGGAAGGAAGGAAATGCCTCTACAAGACTGGACTGTAGGCAAGCCTACAGGGCATTTTCTTTACTAGTGATGGATGCAGGAGGGCTCAGCCCATTGCAGGTGGGCTACCCAAGGTTGTCTGTTGTGCTGGTATCTGAACTTGGTAGTATAAGAGTTCCACAGACGGTGCTAGTTTTGAATGTGAAAGGCTCACAGAGAGCAGCTAAGGCTTGGCACTGTGGGGCAAGGTTGGAGTCCTGCAGAGAGTCCAGGAGAAGCTATTGGAGAAAATTTAGTGCTCTTGTAGAAGAAGACCCCAATAGACTGGAGATGCCTGTATCATGGGATGACAACCAAGAATAGCAGCAGCAGTGGAATGGGGTGAGCTGGAGCCTGGAAGACAAGTTGTGTGTGGGGCAGGGAGCAGAGCCAGGGAAGTGATATAAGCCCTTTGGAAAAGTGCAGGAGACCACAAGGAGGTCCCAGACATTGGATACTGAGCTATTTACGGTCAGGAGTTTGGTTTTGCTTTGATTGGGATTGTGCCCTGGTTCTTCCCTCTTGAAGTAAGAAAGTACTTGATTTATTTTTGATTTTATAGGAGCCCACAGTTGAGAGACTGGGCTTTAGAAGAGATTTTAGGTTTTAAAAGAGATTTAGGATTTTTGAATAGACTGAATTTTAAAGTGTTTAAATTTATAAAGACCGTGGGAATGTTAAGACTTGGGCTATTTTTTTTCCATTGTAATGTTCATACTAATGTGTGCTCTTAGGGATAAACAAAAAAGAAAAGGTTGCGGCTTAACAGGGAAGTATCTGTGCATCACGATGACAAAAGGCAGTTGTGCTTGTTAGCTTCATGTCAACTTGACACAAGGTTATCAGAGAGGAAGGAGCCTCACCTGAGAAAATGCCTCTGTAAGGTTGGGCTGTAGGCAAGTCTATAGGGCATTTTCTGAAGTAGTGATGGATGGGGAATCACCCAGCCCATTGTGAGTGGGGTCACTCCTGGCTGGAGGTCCTGGATTCTAAAAGAAAACAGGCTGAGCAAGGCAGTAAACAGCATCCTCCATGACCTCTGCATCAGCTCCTGCCTCCAGGTTTCTTACTGTTTGAGTTCCTGTCCTGGCTTTCCTTTGATGATGAACAGCGATGTGGAAGTATAAGCCAATAAACCCTTTCCTCATCAGCTTGCTTTGGTCATGGTGTTTCATCACAGCAATAGAAACCCTAACTAAGACAGCTTAGCGCTACAAAAATATTCAGCAATTGCTGGCCTGTAAGGGTGGCTGTTCATATTGTTCAGTTTGTTCAGTGTGTGTGTGTGTGTGTGTGTGTGTGTGTGTGTGTGTGTGTGTGTGTGTGTTTGTATTTGAATATGTTCTGGAAATTTTCTGAAAACTCTCCACAAACTCTTTCTGGTGAGTAATTCCTAATAATATTAGTGAGTCATGAAGGTAGACAGTGAACTTTTTATCTTTCATGGATTCAAGTCTTTTCTGGACCCCTCCGCTGATTCTCCTTGGTGACTCACACT